TAATTAAAAATTGTCTTCATTTTTTAAAATAGCAACAAAAATAAATTGAGCAATAGGCCATGTTAGTTTGTTTGTCGCGCGGATTTTTGCGCTGTCACGCGGGTATTTGCGCTGTCGCTCGTGAATTTATATTTGCGTTATTGCGCATATATATGCGCTGTCGCGCATATGTATGCGCTGTCGCGCATATATTTGCGCTGTCGCGCATATATTAGCGCTATCGCGCATGTATTTGCGCTATCGCGCATGTATTTGCGCTATCGCGCATGTATTCGCGCTATCGCGCATGTATTTGCGCTATCGCGCATGTATTTGCGCTATCGCGCATGTATTTGCGCTATCGCGCATGTATTTGCGCTATCGCGCATGTATTTGCGCTATCGCGCATGTATTTGCGCTATCGCGCAGGTGTGCACTGTCGCGCGGGTATTTGCACTATCGCATGGATATTTGCGCTATCGCGCAACTATTACGCTGTTGCTCGTGTATTTGCGCTATGGCGCATATATATTTGCGCTATCGCGCATGTATTTGCGCTATCGCGCAGGTGTGCACTGTCGCGCGGGTATTTGCACTATCGCATGGATATTTGCGCTATCGCGCAACTATTACGCTGTCGCTCGTGTATTTGCGCTATGGCGCATATATATTTGCGCTATCGCGCATGTATTTGCGCTATCGAGCATGTATTTGCGCTGTCGCGCGGATTTTTGCGCTCTCGCGCGGGTATTTGCGCTGTCGCTCGTGTATTTGTACTATTTAAATCACTTAATTTTTACTCTTCGGGACACAGGTACGATAGTAATTGCGCTGTCGCGAGGGTAATTGCGCTGTCGTGCAGATTTTTGCGCTGTCACGCGGATAATTGCGCTATCGCGCGGGTATTTGCGCTATCGCGCAGGTAATTGCACTATTTGAATTACTTAATTTTTACTCTTCGAGACACAGGTACGCTAGTCGCGAACGAATGATGTCAATACGTCAAATCTGACGTTTGTCAAAACAGGCGAAAAATCATTTTCTGGGTTTTCCGGAAATCTTCCGGTTTTACATTACCGGCCTCACTGGTGACCGTGTGAGAGCAAACGTTTAAAATTTCAGCCCGATCGGACCAAAATTGACCGAGGTATGCAAAAAAACGCATAAAAACGGGTATTTCATTTGGAAAAAATGCTTAAAAAATAATTTTCCGTAATTTTCAAAATTTTTGATTTTTTTCTTTTTGGTCTTCCAGAGAAAGTTATTTTACACAAATTTAGTGAAGGAATTTTTTCTCGTCCTTAAATTAAGCGAGTTATGGATGTAAAAATGTACATGAAAGAAACGTCAGATTTTGACGTTTCTTAAATTTTGAATTTAAAAAAATCATATCTCGAAAACTAACAAAGATAACCTTACGTGGTTTTCACCAAAAGATTTGCCATAAAAATGTCTTTTTTTAATGTCGTATACATGATCTTGCTAAAATAAAGATTTCTGCCAAAAAACTGAAAGTTAAATAAAAAACCGACAACTTTTGAATTAAAAAAAATCATATCTCGAAAACAAATAAAGATACACCTATGCTGCTTTCACCAAACGATTTGTCATAAAAATATCTTTTTTTAATGTGATATACATTGTCTTGCTAAAATTAAATTGTCTGCATCAAAAAGGGAATTTTCAAAAAAATTTTAAAAAAATTGACGAATTTTTGAAAAAAATGTCCAAATCGTTTTTTGATTTTGATAGTTTTTTAAGGGGAAAATTGTACCATAAGCCCACACATTGTTGCCAAATTTCAAGTCGCCATCTATTATAGGTCAAGAGATATTGATGATTTTGTAAAATAAATCGCAGAAGAAGAAGAGGAAAAAATTTTAATAATTTTTTTTGGCAAATTGGTCTACAAGACCATAGTTTACCTTAACGTAGGGTGAACATTAAAAAAATGTGTTTACAAACAGTAGAAAAAAATTAATTAAAAATTGTCTTCATTTTTTAAAATAGCAACAAAAATAAATTGAGCAGTAGGCCATGTTAGTTTGTTTCGATGATTTATATTTTTTAGTATGTTAAATAACAATCCTTTGCACATCTATTCGTGTTTTTCGTTTACTTAAAGTCTTCTTAGTTTTCGAGAAAAAAATTTTCAAAAAATTCCTGAAAAAGTCGAAAAAAAAATTTTTTTTCGAAAGTTGCAGGCCTGAAAAGCCCATATACTATACACAGCCATAGATAGTCCTCGTACACCTTTTCACCAAATTTGGTCTTTCCACGTCGATCCCTTGGACCTGGTGACACCGATAGACAATACCCCGAAATTTCGTCGTAAAAATCGATAAAAAGTGCACTTGTACCTTTCTTGCGCTAACCAAATTTGGACTAGAGGTGCGTCTCGTGGGGGTTAAAAAAGGGTCTAAATTTCAAGTTTCCACCGTTTACCATTTTCGAGTTATAAATTTTTTAAAGTTTTATGACAGATCCACAGACTAACAGACATCCAGACACACAGACACACAGACAACAGAAAAAATGAAAGTTGTTCAGAATTCGATTCCAAGTCGATCCATATATATAAAGGCATATCTAACTGCCCGGGAAGTCGCATTTCCAAAAATTCCTCCGCTTCTATAAGTCATGGAGTCTTTGACTCCACGACTAACTAGCAGTCTAAGCAATCTTAGAATGTTTCCATAATTTTTAAGCGTCGCGTCAAGTTTTTTGTTTTGCAGATAATACAATGGAAATAAGTTTTTTAATGTTTTGGGGCAAGTATAGGCCAGGCCCCCACAAGGCTAGGGCCCCCTGCGGTGGCGGGCGTTCGCGGTACTGTCGCTACGCCACTGTTCTCTCTTCTAATCTGTCGCAAAATTTGCTTTACATTAATTTCAGAAATTAATTGATGATTTTATTTTTATGTCATTTCATAGCAGGTTTGCCAGAACGGTTGCACCCAAAAATGGGTAAAATTGATAATTTTATAAAGACATATTAGTAATATTAAGAGTAAATGATAATTGAACGGGCAAGAGAATGATAATTTCTTTATAATAAAGGGCAAACAAAATTGTTATTGCAATACCAAATTTATTTTAATTTATAATCACAATATTGTTTTTTTCTACTTTAATAAAAAAAATTTACTTTACCCCTTGAATAAGATCACATGTCTCAATATGCAGGCCCTGTATAATAATGTAAATTAAATTTAAAAAACTCGTTATGCCAAAACTATTATTGTCACAATTTATATTCGTGAAAAAACAGCAATCACATGAAATGTGTAAAAATGGATTTTTTGTTTTGTACACCCAAAAACGAACTTGTAAATGTAAATGTAAATATTGTAATTGTTCCGTACTGACACGGTTTACAAATTTATTTTCAAGGAAAGTAACGTAGTTTTATATATTTTACAAATTTATTTTAGAATAAATTTGAAATTTCTAAATTATCGTGTTAAAGGCAAAAAGTTTTGCAAAAGTGGTAAAAAGGGACACTTAGGTAAAGGAATTACAAGTTTTTCGAACTTTCCCTAAAAATCTGGCGTCCAGAAACGATGGTCCAGGTACACGAATAAAGTAAATGGAAGCAAAAAACAGGCAGAAAGTTTTTGGAAGTGTTAGCGAACGGATCGTTTCTTGTAAATTTTTGCTAAAACGAAATTTATTGCAAAGTTCTATTTAAATTATTGTTACGACTGTTTGTGTATTCTCCAAGGTTAGTTTTTAATTTAGAATATTTAAAACGAAATGTAAAATAAATGTGATGACAATAAATATTTTATTCGAAACATCTGACTTATTATTTCGACAAAGGACTTCCTAAAGCGAGCAATATTTTAGTAAAACACTAACTTTCAAACAAAGGTATTATATATCTGTATAGTGTCAGAACGCATATATACTTAAAAAATATATAAGGTGCCATTAATTCACATTAAGCGCCAAAAATATTGGGTGCGGGAACGTCAATGTAGTTTTTGGTGTCACTTGGTACTTTTACGCGTATATATATATATATATATATATATATATATTTATAAATACCCCTTAAAAAATAAAAACTTATCACTACATTTTTTAAATTAAGTTAGAATAGTTTTTTGGCACACAAATATTGATAATTTAACAAAAAAATCCAATAAACAAAACAAAAATCAAATTTTGTTACATAGTGTAATAGATGACGATACCTACTAAAGATATTATCTCTGGCAATGACCAGATATTATTTTGTCATGCTGTGCTTACAGTTGTTGCTAAAATGTACAATAATTTCATTAAGACGCATTGATGCGCGTGGGGCCTATAAAACGCCGGGCCGGGTGCAACCTCACCGTTTGCACATGCCTCACGCCGGCACTGTGAATTTATTCAAGTTTAAATGCCCGTTTATAATAAGTTTATAATTATATTATTAACAATAAAGTTAAAAATCCCAGGGTATAAAATCTAATGGGTATAAAATCTAATGGTGTGGTGTGTCTTTTGTGTGGTTTGTGCTTTACCTGCAGGTTAAACCAGTATATTGTCGCCACTACTGATTCAATTAAATTAAAATTAGTACATAATCTTGTGTTAAAGTTTTCTTATTATATCTATTAGTTTTTTAATGCATTTTGGCACTTTTTGCCATTTTAGTACATCGTGCAGCAGGGCATCGCTGATAATACTTAATCATTGTTAATACTATTCAATAGTATTGGCACAAATTAGAGACCCTTTGAACTCTTTGTCAAAGGGTCTCTATATAAAGACCTAAAGGTTAAATTATTCTTAAATTGAGAGCTCCTCCCCCGACTGCTTAGGGCCCCTTAAAATGTAAATCCGGTCCTGAAAGCGCTGCCAATGTTTGGGGAATTCCCCAAAATGCGGGGAATTCAGCATTGTTGCGGGTAATGTGTGGGGAATTTAATATATAGTGTGGGGAATTTCGGGGAATTGATAGATTTCACTAAATTTGGCTTCAAATGTTATTTAATAAGCGAAGCTGCACCACTGTAAAAAGTTTAAAACCACATGTCGCGACATTTGTTATGGAATGTTTTAATGAATGTTATGGCCGGCTGTCAAAAGCGTAGTTTCCAAAATTATCAATTATCTTTGGAATGTGTTATATGTTTGTGATAGGTACGCAAAGATTAAACTTCGGTTCGATAAGATGATAAATCAAATTGGTTTTATTCATAAGCCTATGATATTATGTTATACCACGTGTTTGTGTGTACTTTGAATATTCAAATTTCCAAAATTCTGTACCAAATAACTACATGATGGATAAATGGCTAACCAAAGTTCCTCCTAATGACGAGGTAAAAGTAAAATTTTCAGTTTCAGTTATTTGTTTTTCATCATTTTATATGTGTTTTTTAGTATGTGTGGGGAATTTTACCACATGATATGGAGAAAAACCGTTTTTTAGTTGGCAGCGCTGGACACACCTACTGACGTAGCTTCACCTACTTGACAAGATCATATAAATGTTTGCTCTTTTTGGAAAATCATAGATTATCCATAGAATCTGTCTTGTAATTGTTGCTGTTGTGTTATTTTTGTTGTTACGATGGCTTACATCGAGTTCGGTTTATTATTGGTGACTTTGGTGATTCTAGTTTGGTTTTATTTTAAACAAGCGTATTCTTATTGGAAGAATAAGAAAATCCCGTATATGAAACCAGTTTTTCCCTATGGAAATCTTAATAGCCTTCTACCCCGAGGACTATTTATAGGTAACATTTTTTAATTAAAAATTATTCAAATGAAACATTTTTTTAAGTTAAAGTACACCTGGGATAAAAAATAAAATTAAGTGCCATCTTTAAGGGGCGTAGATTAGGGTGGGCCGATTTTATATTTAACTTCTAAAATTTAAATATATTAAAATCTGCATTTAAGAAAAAGTTGTGAAATAGGAAAGTAAACATTTTTTGCAAAATATTTTTTTTGAAATCTATATGATTTGAACTGCCGCAACGCCTCTAAAAATTTAAAAGTAATTTTTAAAAATTTAAAATTATTCATAAGCGGGAAAGTTGTGAAATAGGAAAGTAAACTATTTTCCTTTAATATTTTTTTTTTAATGTTTTGAACTGTATGAAGTCAAACTGTTTAAATTTTGCAATAATGCAATTATTGGAGAGACGGCGTAAAATGGAGAATAAATATTTTTTAAGATTTTCGTGTTTGACGTAGAACAGTTGACAGTTGGCTTCACTGTTTATATAAATTATAATATTTTGACATCGTCAATTAGTTGAATAATAAAAATTTTTACAAGGAGTATCTGTTTGTGGTTTTTGGGTGTTTGTGAAAAATGGAAGGTAAAACAGGATTATAAATTGAATTAAATTTGTGTTGATGATAAAGTCATTTTTATTTTTGTTTTTTTTAATAAATATTTATCATTCAAAACTTTTTTTAACCCTATTTTCTCTCAGATAATTTTTTTCGTATTTAAGATCTTTCAAGGCCTTGCGGCAGTTTAAGAAATTAAAATTAAAAAAAAAAACTCTTATAATATTTTTCTGGCCTTATAAATGCACAACTTTTTCACCATTGCAATGCATGCACAATTTAATATTTGAAAAATATTAAAATCGGTCCACCCTACCGTAGATCCCTTATAAAGCATTTTAGCAAAACAATTTAATTTAGTATTATTAAAACCATATTATTTGTAAAATTTCATGTTTATTATCTGGAACATGCTTTCTGAAAATTAAAAAGACATGTGTTATAAAGTTATTCCTAACAATTTATTTATTACTATACACAGTATACGAATAATTGCTTTCAACTATCTGTCACTGTGTCCTTTCTTTAACCCTTCCAATCCATATATGGATGGTTATTTGACAAAACATCGTAAGCGTATTTGTTGAATTACTTTTTATTTTATCAAAGTTTCAGTTACGATAAGCTGCACATGTTAACATAATAGTTATCCCAATTTTGGAATCTAATATTGGTCAGTTTGAATATTTTTATTATTGTAAGCGCCTCTTCTTTTTAATTTGTTACCGATTTATAACGTAAGCGCCTATATGTTCCTGACAAATAATCGTAAGCAACTCCGACTCCGAGACATGGCGTTTGCGATTTATCATTGTGTCGCTTACGATAATATTGGGCTCCCGCCTTGATCTATCAAGGCGTTATTCCCGCTCTAAACAGTTTATTCGTGAGAAATACCTGCATCGTGGTGATTGCTAAGTTTTAAAACAATATTTTATTTCATCAAAAGCTTATAATTCCTTTTTTTCATTGCATTATTAATAGTTATCCTAATTATAATTGTTTTAACGTAGTGTGGTTAAAAGTGTTTTTGTAGTAATTGTATGTTGTTATAGCGTCAAATAATTTGACTCAAATTTATAACGGTTAGATCATGGTACCATGGGTTAGATCATGGAGCCTACACAAGGAGTCCGAACATAATGTAAACAAGAATCTTCTTAAGATAAGAGTGCGTTGGTGCTCCGTTTATTCTGAAACAATTGTTTAATTTGTACCGAAACGCTAGCATCGACAATCAGCGCCGCTGGTGGTGAAAAAAAGAAACTTAATTTGTACAATTTAGAGGGCTGGTTTTGTCAATTTCCCCTATTAAGTTCAGGCTCCTTGAGTAGGCTCCATGGGTTAGATACTGGTTTGTGAATAAAAATCGTTCGTTTTTTTCAAAGATAGCTAATGTAGAATTTCATTTTCGAAAATTGTTTGGCAAAATATCGTTGGTGAAATTTTATAAATAAATTTTTTTGTATTTTTTTTATTTAATAATAAAATTAAAAAAATAATTGTCGCTAACGATGTTTTGACAAAAGTAATCATCAAATCTATATCCCACAAAGTAACGTAAATGTAACTTAAGCAACAAGACTAATTTTACATTATCCTAAAGATGTTCCCAGATAGCACAAAAAAGTACTGGAAACGTCCTAAGTATGTCTTGTATCAGACATTAGTATGTCCCGAGTACGTCCGAATCAGGTCCTGAACCTTCCCCAGCACGTACCAGGGACATCCGATGTTACCAAATCTTCGGTCCCCAAAACGTCCTAAGTAAGACATCCTCTGACCGTTCTGAAATACTTTATTGGGGATTATTGGACAAGCTCTACAAAATTGAAGAGTGGTATTCCCTAAGGGTCTAAGTGAAAAAAATAAAATTGTGAGTTATCAATGAAAAACAAATATTTTGAAATGTTGGAATATTTTTTAAGTCATTCTGCATGACAAACTATTTTTAAATGATAATATATTATTTAGCCAACTTGACACTTAGACCCTTTGGATATACCATGCTTCAATTTCTAAAAAAAAATTATGTACCGAGTATATCCGCTTTAATTTTCCCAAATAAGTAAGAGACTGGACGTACCCAAAACTTCCGATATAGGTCTGGGACGTTCGGACCTATGTGGGACCCGAAATGGACGTCCTGGGCACCTCTTGTGCTATCTGGGTTCTTATAAGATATTTTATAAATATCGTATGCCACAAAATTGAATGAAAATTTTAGATTGGATTCGATCTTACTTAAATATTTGGATTCTACATTAATAAAATAATGCCTCACCCACAGACCACCAAAACAAATGGACGGCGCATTGCCATTCAATAACAATGCTTTGTTTGCAACGAACGGTCACAGTCTAAGCGTTAAATTGGCTATAGAATGTTATGTTTTCTTCCAGTGACGTATTGCGTACTCCAAAACAGCTGACATATAACAAATATGACAGCTGACTGCAACCAGTACCGTGGTGTTAAATAGAGATAATTTAAAAATAGTTTAATTTAATTGTGATTACTTACCTATGAAAGGATAGATTTGGATTTCTTTGGTTTGTTTTTTTACAAACAGTACACTGTCGCATCATTTTTAGTAAAAAATAATGCATTTAAACTCAATAATTAACTAAAACACGATAGAAATACACAAACGAAAACACAAAACAACAAGCTGTCAAACCTTTTTCTATGCTGTCAACCACAATCCACTGAACGCAAATATGACGAATTTACCAACGTTGTTAATATTTAATTTTAATAATTATTAAATGATTTACTTTTTTTAAATAGAGAAAAATATCTAAAGAAAATGATGAACAAATCCTTTTTACAATTTTTTTATATAACGAATTACTGGTAATTATTAATGTTCATTATGTTATTATGAACGTCCAAAAAGGCGTGTAATCTATACTTCTGACAACGTTGGAAGCCGTGTTTCTTTCGACGGTGTTTAGAATGTTAAACTATGCTTTACTCGCTTTTTATACGTAAACAAATCCGTCCATTTGTTTTGGTGGTCTGTGGCCTCACCAGTTTTCAGATAAATAACTTTAAAAATAAAGCTCCACACAAAAAAAATCTCTCCTCTAAAATTTAGGTTTTGTCGCTTACGATGTTTTGTCAAATAACCATCGATATGAGGCCATTATTTGCAAAAGTCTCTAAACGACTAAATAATCACTTTTTTGCTAATTTCATCGGATTTTTTATAAGGAATGTATTGCCACCTTTAAAACGTTTAAAAACTGCTTCTTTGTTATATAAAATCAGTTAAAGAGTTATCGGTTATTTTTAAACTCATTTTTTACATCCATTTAGCCGCTAAGCAAAGAAAAGTGGATAAAATTCCCATTATTGGTTTACTCATTAAACATTATGGCGAAGACTGGATAAAACTACCAGAATAAGCCTACAAAATTATTCGAGATCAAGCTTAAAATTAAAAAAAAAATTAAAGATGATCAAGATGTGTGTCAAAACTTAAACGACACTGAAATTATTTAAGTTTTTTTCTTTTGCATACAAATTTTAGTTTGTTTGTTAATAAATTTCCAGAAAACTATAGGAGATTCATATGTACGATTATTATATTTATTAGTTATGCCTATAAATGTATTGCTCCTAAAAAGTAAACCAAATAGCAAAGAGAGAGTTTTGCAAATAATGGCCTCATATCAACTCTCCGTTGTGAGGCTCACTTATTTAATAAACCTGTTGCAGAAAAGTCTCCTGTTATAGATCTCCCCCCTTTGATTATTTCCTTACTCCTACGCTCGCCTTCCCGCTACTAATACTGGAATGTTCTCGATAATTCATAATTTAATGTAAGCTTATTAAAAAGCATTTGTTTTCTTTATCAGGCCTTCAAAGCAAGAAATACTTCGACGAGTTCAAGAAACGCAACCTAAAATACGGCGGAGTCTACGCGATAGCAACGCCGATGCTGGTGGTGAACGACGTGGACATTATCAAAGACATTCTAATAAAAGACTTTAGCCACTTCACCAACAGGGGATTCTACCACAACCAGAGCGGCGACAAAATGTCGTCGAACTTGATCACGCAGGAAGGGCAGAAATGGAAAACATTACGCACCAAGTTCACGCCTACCTTCACTTCAGGGAAAATAAAGGCTATGTTTAATACTATGAGCAAAAGTGCCAAAAATATGATTGAGTTTCTTGATGGCCATGAAAATAAGGAGGTGGTGAATATAAACTATTTATCAGAGGGTTACACGATTGATGTGATTGGAGACAATGTTTTTGGTTTGGAGTGCAATAGCTTTAAAACTCCAGAAACGATGTTCAGGAAAATGGCTAGAAGGAGTTTCGAGATTGATTTTATACTCGCAGCCAACCTATGTTTGGCAATAAACTTCCCTAATTTGGCCAGGAAATTAGGCGTGTATACCACCAATAAAGACGTCGACAAGTTCTTTACCAACTTGGTGAAAGAAAATCTTCACTATAGGGAAACCAACAACATCAGGAGGCCGGATTTTTTTCAGTCTTTAATCGATTTGAAGAATCATAATAAACCTAAAGAAAGCATCGATATCGATGAAGTCAGTGCTCAGACTTTCTTATTTTTCATTGCCGGTTTCGAAACTTCATCCTCGACGATTATGTTATGTTTGTACGAGTTGTCGAGGAATCAGGAGATTCAGGAGGAATTGAGGAAAGAAGTCAGAAAAGTGGTGCAGAAATATAATGGAGACATTACGTACGATAGTATCAGAGAAATGAAGTATTTGGGGCAAGTTATAGACGGTAAGATATTAGATTTCATTTATTAGTCATAGACGATTTAACCGTAAAAATAAAAAAACTTTTTAAAAACAAAACTACTCTTGACTTTCCCTATTTTTTAGTTAAGTTCTATATTAACTATCAATGATTAAATAAGGCAGGAGAGATTTTTTTAACTAAAAATAATTTATACCTACATCTTTTTGTCCTAGAAACTCTAAGGATGTATCCTTTGGTCTCGACTTTGGCGCGTGTATGCATAAAAAATTACCAAATAAACGGCACCGACGATGTCATAGAAAAAGGCATCCAAATTATTATTCCAGTCGCTGGTATCCACAAAGATCCGGACCTATGGGTTAATCCTTATGAATTTGATCCTGAAAGATTCAACGACGAAAACAAACAAAATATACATGCATGTGCGTATTTGCCGTTTGGAGAGAGTCCCAGAAATTGCATAGGTAACATTTGGTTATTTGTTAACTTTTTACAAATATCTTTTTATTTTTTAGCAATGTCATATGGATTAATGCAAGTCAAAATTGGAATTGCTACACTTTTGTCAAGTTATAGATTTTATTTGAGTCCTGAAACGAAGCAACCCTTGGAGTTTCAACCTGAAACATTCCTCCTATTAACTACAGATGATGTAGTACTAAAAGTTGAAAAATTGTAACGTATTGTTGTTTCTTAAAGTTATGTATTACAAAGATATATTTTATAAAAACAATGCTTGCTATTTTAATAAACACTCTTTTATAATAATAATTTAATGGATGAATTCTTATCCAAAAATTTTTGTGATTTATCCTAATCTAGACGTTTTTATGCAAATCATCTTGTCTGTAATTGTATGTACCTATTTACCTGTAATTGTAATTTATTTACCTTTATCTGTGTAATATTTCTTATTTTTCATTATAAATTATTTATTATATTTTGTTACTTACTCTTTGTGTGACTTTGTTTGACATTTTTAAATTGTGTATCTTTTTGGAGCATAAATAAATATTATTATTATTATTAAATATTATTATTATTATAAATATTATTATTATAATAAATAGCACGGTGAGTGAAATGGCAAACAAGGAAGCTCCGATTTCCGTTTAAATGACGCCTTTTCAATAGCACTCCCAAACTTACAATTTACTTTAGGTATATTTTGTTAAGCATTTTATTGCATATATGCATTTATATTTTGATATTTTTGTTGCATATAATACGACCTATAGTATTACCAACGTAACGACAAACTTTTTTGACTATTTGAAATATTTGGTTCAGTTTTTGTCTTGAACGAATAACATTTATTCTGTTCTGTTTATTTTTTTTGGAAGAGCAGTTTAAAAACGACATAAAGTTGCGAAAATGGAAAACGTGCGGGGGAGGCCTTTGTATGATTATGTCTTGGACTACATTAAATCCCGAATTTTTGAGGCCACTTTAAGGTATACTAAGTCCAGCTTAAAATAAGCAGCTTCTAGCCAAAAATGGCCCATTCTGAAAGGGTCTTTAAGACTAAATTTTAAAACTATATTAAAACCAATTGGTTTTAATTTTATATTCTTAAAAAGTTCTTCAAGGCAACTTTAAATTTATGTATTAAAACTTATTTGCATTAAAAATATACTTGCAGCAGACCAAATTACCTTAAGAATCAATCAATTTATTAATATAATTAATAAAGGAGTTTAAAAGGGTTTTATTTTGTTTACTAAAGTGGGACAATAATTAATGGCAGAGTGGTAATATTTTAATAAACATAACGCCATATAAAGCAGATCATTAAAAATTATTAAATGCAAACTATTCTAGTATAAAATTATGGCAAACCCTAAGTGGCAGGGCCCTGATCCGGCATGGATCATATCGTCCCCATTATCACATAAGGGCGTATCTCATATTTAACAACTTTACAGAGGATTTTAAAGATTTAATGTTTTTAGCTAACTTAAATTATTATTTAGAAAAAAATGTGCTACAAGGTATTACAATTAATGTATTACTAGTAGCAATTTTTTTTTGAGAAAAATAATTTAAATTAGCTAAAAACTTTCAATCATTAAAATTCTCTGTAAAATTGTTAAATATGAGATACGCCCTTATGTAATAATGGGGACGATATGTGCAGTGCCGGTTTAACAGGGGTTTTTTGGGGACTATAGCACCGGGCGGTAAATATTTTTGGGGCGGTAACGCGTACCGCCCATAATTTTTAAAAAAAATACTTAATCGTTAGAATTTAGAAAAAAAAATTGCGTCGGCGGATACAACGGATACAAATGAGAAAAATGTTGTTAGAGTTGAAGCAGCTTCTCCATCAGAAAAACTTGATTTATTGCATGGAAACGGAATAATTTTAACTTTTTGGATAGACGTTTTGCAAAGGGTTAATGAAACCAATAAAGCAGTCCAAAAACAAAACTTTGATTTTTTACGTGATCATTTTGATCATTACGAGGAAATAAACAGGAAACGAAAATTATGCTCTGAAGCGGATAATCATAAGAAAATTACAATTTGAAGAAAATAATTCAGAGGCAAATTTAAACAAAAAAGAAACAATGCGAACAATATGTTTTATTTTAATAATTGACAATCTATAATCCGAAATCATTTGTCGATATGATAGCTAGAAATCTGGCACAAACAAATTTGAATTTTTGTTTAATCTAAAAGCATAAATCTTCGTGAAGGATTTGGATGAGTTTTTTCCTCAAAAATGTGTCCAACTCAAGAAACTCGTAACTTCCCTTTCGGAAATAAAAATAGAAACTTCATTGGAATTAGTATAAGTTTTATACGAAAATAAATTAATATCTTTATTTCCGAATATTAATATTTGTCTGCGAATTTTTTTTATAATGGTTTCAAATGCAAGTGGTGAACGATCTTTCTCTACTCTAAAAAGGGTAAAGAACTACCTAAGAAATACAATTCCCCAAGAAAGATTTAACTCCTTAGCAATTTTGTTCATTTATCAAGACCTGCTAGATGAAATAAATGTAAAGTGTTATAAAACAATTTGCTACTATAAAGACTTGAAAACAATCTTTTAATTATTAGTATTAGGATTTCTCAATATTTATTTAAACCAAAGAATAATGTTTTATTTATTTATAACTTTTGATTAGTTTTTATTAGTTTAATGAAACAAAATATGAAACTTTTATTTTTTAATTAGTTTTTCTTAGTACTTAGTATTGTTTATATAAACGAAAGAATGTTTTAATTTTTAGTTAGTGCTTTTGAATAGTTTTTATAATTTGTTTATAAAGGCTCATTTTATATTTTATAGGATACTAAGTTTACTGTTAGATACCAGCCTAACCAACCTAATCTTCCACTTGACGTGAGAAAGTAAGACTTAAAAATTTAAAAAAGTAATATTTTAAAGCATTGGGCGTTGTGTTTGTGCCAGAACCGGGCGGCGAACTAACTTAAACCGGCACTGGATATGTGGCCCGGATCAGGCCCAAATAGGTAAAACCCTATAAAGGTATCTAAGGTCCGGTATGGATAGGGCCCCTATCATAGGGGTAACCCTGAGCAAGGTCTATTTCAGAGAAGACCTTTAAGTTAAAGGTCTTCTCTGAAATAGACCTTGCTCTCGGATACGGTTTCTGACGGTTTGAGCTGACACAATCAAATCGTGGGTCCTAAGAAGCTCTTGTCTTAGCTCGGGAGCTGTTATTTCCGGGTGTCTCCGAGCTTGCAAAAGCAAAAAGCGGTCTTGTACCGGGGTAGTTATCCTACTGCGGCCTGGATGTCTTTCCCTTACCTTTCCCTGCTTATAACACTCACAGATGTGCCCATTTGACGAGCCACTTCACGTTGTGATGAACCACCTTGTATCATCCCAATTGCTCTTAATTTTTGTTCGTCACTTAGATGGTGCCTTTCCATAATAGTAAAAGTATTTTTATAAAAACTTGATGATTATTGGGTAAATAACACAAGATATACTAAATTGCACCGTTTAACGGGTACCCAGAAATACGATAAATAGTAAAAAACATTATTTTTTGCATTAAAAAATGTGTTATACAGTGTGTTCTTTTATATTTAGTTATGTTATTTTATAATTTATAAGTTAAATTATTTAATAATTAAATTTAATTCGATTTTTCTGGGTGTTCCCTAGACACTTTGACTGTGGATATATTAAGAGGATAACAAGTACGCTACTTAAGATCTGTGATATATTTGTAGTTTATAATAATAAATAATTACTGGATACCTAATACTGTGAGGCTCGGGTTTGATTTGCGGTACCGAAATAGATATTTTTTTTTAAATTTTTTGATCTCAAAAACTGTTAGAAAAACTGCTTTTTTATTGTCAAATTGTCAATGGGGCACTACTTTTTTTTATTTTCCAAAAGAAGAAGAAAAATGTTAAAGACAGATTTTACGCTAATATGCGAAACAAATTTTGTTCAAATAGGCGGACGCGGTGTGATATAAATTTTATTAAAGTTAACAGTTTGTATACATTTTAATAAAAACTTGTGTAAAGGGCCATGCCCTCCTAGGTAGCACAACGTAACGAAACCGTGACGATTTAGTGGGGACAGTGGTAATTAGGCTGTCGTTATGGTAGGTCGCTACACCACAAATTAATAAATAGTAGTAATAATATACCAAATAATCTTGTTTTATGCCAAATAGTTATATGTAAGAATAATTGATTAGGTATATGTACGAATAAATAAGTGTTAACGTGAAATATCTTTAAACTTCCTCAAGAACCACACCATTTGGTGTTTACAGCACATGTAGGCTACATGGGCTGTAAAGACCATGTATTTTGATCGATCACAGTTGCGATTTTGAACGTAGGCAACCCAAACTACAGTGTCTCTTTAATTCTTAATGTACCTATATTGATTCAAATTTGAATCAATATGAATGAAAATATTAGCAACTTGTTTTTAATTGTTATTGCAGTTAAAAAATGTATTACTATTTTTAGTAGTAGCGCGGCTACTCCTAGGCAAATTTATTTAAAATAGAAATGCTGCACATATTTTCAGTGCACATTATTTGCAGTACATTACAGTTGGGAGCATATTTATAAATAGAACTGGTAATAATAGAACTTAAGTGTGATATTTAAACTCTTTATTAATGTTAAATAAGTTATATTACAAAAAGAAAACTTAAACGTATTTTAAAATAAACTACCCCTATACTGCTTGGCATATAACATAAATTTTTAAATCCAATCAATTTATTGAAAATACAGAAGCAATGCACTTTTATCCTATGTTAACTACGTTTTAGCAAAGTTTAAATATTTGTTTAAACCAAAAATAATATTTGGCTTAAACCAATATTTTTTTATTGCTAAACTTAACTGTCAATGCTACTTTTGCTCTCCCTTAAACTAGCCGATCTGCGCCTCTTCATTTCTTGCCTACGTTGTTTCGACTCTTTTTGCCTTTGAGCCAATAATTTTTTGTAGGCATTTGACTCATCTTTACGTTTTAAGCAGCGCTTTTTCTTCAAAGCCAAACGATGACGTTTTCTTTGCAAAACCTGGGGGGTGACTATACGCTGCACCTTTGGGGCCTTAAAACGTTGCTTCTTGCCCTCTTTCTCAGGCAAAGGCCGTTTCACCACATATTGTCTTACATCATCTTGCTTAGTCAAGTTAAAGAGTTTTCTGATTTTATTAACACGTTTTGGTCCCAACCTTCTGGGAACATTTGTGTCAGTTAGACCAGGAATGTCCTTTTCACCCTTACGAACAACAACCAGAGACAATACACTTAAATTTGCATCAACAATGCAACCACGAACAGATTTTCTCCTACGTTCACCATCTCTACGGGTTCTGAAACATGAATGGCCTTCAGACAGCAACAATCTCACTCTTCCGTTGGTGAGAACGCCTTGTTTCATAGGAAATCCTTGTTTGTCGTTCCCGCCAGTAATTTTGAAAATGTATCCCTTCCAATCATCACCCAGTGGATCTGCTTGGACCTCGGATCCCATACGTTTATCAAAAAAAATTCTTATTTTGTGGTCATCCACAATTTCGAACAGTTTTTGGCATCCTGTCGCAGGATACGATATATTTAACTTCATGATTTACCTGAAGCAAAACATTTTTAACGTTTATTGACATAATTTTGACATATAAGAGCGTCTTTAACGTAACGACGCTTTTATTTGTTTTTGTTTGTTAAATTTACATACAGCCAAAATTTAATTAACAATTTATCATACCTTAAGCGATACCCCCTATCTTAAACCGATAGAACAACCACTTTACGATACCATTAATAACAAAACCAGCACCCGGCGTTTGATTCGATGATAATAACATTTTTATACGATTTTCGTTTACTGCGCAAGCCGATGCTCACACGACAACGTGGAAAAGAATTTTGACTTTTAAACGTTGCACTCTCGGATCATTTAATTGTATCCAAAAATAATAATTGTTGAACAACAATCAACTTTTCTTGGCAATATACACTACTAAATCCGAAACGAAATGTACTGCAAATACCTACATACGTCCCTTTTATTTTATTGATCGACTCATTTGCGCGCGAAATACAATACCATTATAGTAAAGGAATAAAATAACAAATTATTCGATCTATTTAATTTCAACACAGGTACCTATGATTCACACAAGAATTTAAAACAAAGCCATTTAATTAACAAGCCGTTCATACACATGGTTTCTCTGTGATATAACATAAAATGCCGTCATTTTATAAACATAAAAATCCTTCAACGAATATAAAGAAAAATACAGTGCAACAAATATAAAGACATACATAATAAAGGTACTCACCCTATTTGTTGGTAAAAATAAACCACGATGAAATGAGTTTCAATGGGTTTTCGTCTGCGCAGCTTTCACCCTCGAGAAGCGGCAGACAGCTAAGCAATTTGCCGGTAACATAACCTACCTCTTTGACATCTGCTGATTAACGTACCTAATTAAACCGCTAAAATTTTGAATTCAAGTTTGTAAACTGGTCATGGCTATAGAGAAAGAAACTGATAAAAAAGTATTTAAAATTAAAATAATTTATTCCACATGAAGAAAATTTACCAACTAAAGGTGTGTTAACTAAAAAACTTCTGTAAAATAAAACCCTCATAAACCAAACCAAAATAAATTTGGTTTAAGCATTAAATATATTTATTATAATAACTAAGTACTTCTTCACTTAACGGTTTAAGGTTATTCTTCAATAACTTTTTAAAGTTTGCCAAGATTGTAATGATTTTTTTCATCTTGATCATTGCTTGCCAGCGTATAGGTACCTACCAATTTTTTTTTAATAATATTTTTTTAAGTATACAGGGTGTCCCAAAATCACCGAAATTAAAAAAAAAGGGGTCGATTCCTTGCGAAAATCTAAAGCTTAGTTAGCTCAATATCTCGAGAAATACGCATTTCACGGAAAAATGTCTTAAATAAAAGGTTAATGTGACCAAAGGGGACATTATTTGGTGCTACCGCTAGCCACCCCCTACCCCTTCTTAAGGGTGAAACGGGGGGTAACTTTGGAAAGTCAAATGGAATGACCCGATTTTTTTCACAGAGTTTGGTAGTACATAAAAAAATGAATAACTTTTATTTGAAAGTTTTTTTCAATTTATCAACAGATGGCGCTGTAATTCAAAATTAAAGAAAAATGTATTATTTGAAACGTTTGAAAAACAAAAATTAACATTAAATCAAAAATAGTCGACTCTGAAAACAATTTATAACAAATGTTTGAAATGTCGTCCTTCCATTTCAACACCAAGTGGAGCACCAGCGTCCCTGGTCGGTAAACGTTTGGTGCGGTACCTTAAGCGAACGATTAATCGGACCCTTCTTTATTGACGGTGCATTAAATGGCGAAAAGTACCGGAATTTTCTAGAAAACGATCTGACGGACCTTTTGGAGGATGTACCACTAGCACGGCTCCAAAACATGTGGTACCAGCAAGATGGTTGTCCTGCACATTATTCGACAATTGCTCGAGAGGTGTTGGATCGGGAGTTCAATGGCCGGTGCACCGCGGTGGATCGGTAGACGTGGTCCAGTAATTTGGCCTGCTCGATCACCTGATCTTACGCCACCAGACTTCTTCCAGACTTGGGAGGAGATGGTGGAGCGGATCAGGAACGCTTGTGCGGCGATACCGCCCGACATGTTGGCGCGTTGTGTGCCAGAATTCATTACCCGCATTCAAAAATGTGTTGAAATGGAATGACGACATTTCGAACATTTGTTATAAATTGTTTTCATAGCCGACTATTGTTGTTAATGTTAATTTTTGTTTTTCAAACGTTTCAAATAATATATTTTACAAGGAAACTCATTTTTCTTAAATTTTGAATTACAGCGCTATCTGTTGATACATTGAAAAAAGTTTTAAATAAAAGTTATTTATTTTTTTTATGTACTACCAAACTCTGTGAAAAAAATCGGGTCATTCCTTTTGACTTTACAAAGTTACCCCCCGTTTCACCCTTAAGGAGGGGTAGGGGGTGGCTAGCGGTAGCACCAAATAATGTCCCCTTTAGTCACATTAACCTTTTATTTAAGACCTTTTTCCGTGAAATGCGTATTTCTCGAGATATTGAGCTGTCTCAAGTTAAAAGAAACACCCTGTATATATTGTTTTTCTGTTTTCACCATATATGGTGAAAACAGAAAAACAATTGAAAGACGGGTTTCACAAAAATAACATTTTGTAAAGACAATTTAATTTATAACAAAAATTATAATTGCATAATTTCCCCAAATTTAAAAATAAACAATTAGTAAACACTTGATGGTTTTTGAAATAATCAAATTATTACTTCATTTGAACAACAATCAGAAAGATCAAGTGCTTATAGACCAGGCGGAAAAGGCACATATTATCACCAAGCATACATTTCACTAATATTAAATTAATAAGCTTTCGCCGTCGTGTTATATAGGTATATACTATTTTTTTCCATGCATTTAATTAAATAATTTGTTAAAATTCTCACATCATTTTTAGTTCAACTTACATGATGACATTTTAGCCATAGATCACAGAGTGCCATAGATAATAGTATATTCACAGATTATAAAGGTTATATTATATTATAAAGGTTATAATATATATATTATAAAGAGTATATTCTGTAAAAAGTTTGTAATACGGCATATTCTGCTCGAGTGAAAAGTTTGTCAGTTTGACGGTTTCACGAGAGCGGAATATGCAATTCCAAACGTGTTTCAAACTATACTTTTTCTACGTTTCCAAAAAATACCATTGAAAAATAATTTAATTGGGAGAAAATGAGGTTGGGTCTAAAATTTGTTAGATATTAAACACAGAGATGTCGCCACCAGTGTTTATTCCGTCATCCGATGATAGAATAATTCATTCTGTAATACTTTAAGGAATAAACATGCCACATTAAAAAGAGATATTAGAACGGTCATATTCCGTAATAGGAGTAGAAAAAAGCTATTTAATGATTTAATTAATTTTAAAGCCATTTTTATAAAAAAATAAAATGTAAAATATTATATAAAATAATAAATTACTCTATTATTGTTTGTCATAAAAGCACTATCAATATTTTTTTTGTAACCTGTCCGTAAATAAGACATCATTATATAGCTTAAAAAAATGGCCGTTTAGCCGGATAACCTAGCTAGATTAACCGGTTAAGCCGCCAGCTAATTAGCTAAGCTAATTTAGTTAACTGGTTAAATTAGCTAAGCTGATCAGTTAGCTAGCTAATTAACTTAGCTAACTTTTTAAGCTGGCTTAACCAGCTAAATTGTACAGCCCTAGTACCTACCTATTATAATTTAAATTATAATTTTCAATATTATGTTAATTAAAAGACAATCTGTAAAATAATAAATATATATTAAAAGATAAATTTACTTTGGAAAGCCGACAGTCAATTGTTATTGTTTTTTCTATTTTAATCAGAAGAAAAAATACCACCAATAACGAAGATAAAAATGGTGAGCAGATATCTATGGACAGTGTGTACCTACCTATTATAATTATAAATTATAATTTCCAATATTATGTTAATTAAAAGACAATCTGTAAAATAATAAATATATATTAAAAGATAAATTTACTTGAATATTGAATACTGGTATTTTAAAATTATATAATACTTAAGAATTTAAATCTTAAGTAGGGAATGGATAAAATTAAATAAAATTAATAAAATTATTCCAATGTGCTCCAGGACCTTGGAACAAATTCTCTTTCCAATTTTCGTCCAATTGTCTGGACTTGGAAACCAATTTGAATTAAAGCTTCATGATCTAGAATTTTTCTACCATCAAAAATATATGAGGGTTTCATCATTCCTTCGTAAATTTTATTAAAGTCCAAAATCTAAAATAAATTTAATTAGTTAAATTTAACTGTAAAAAAACATTGAAAAAAATACCATAAATTCGTCCCATTCAGTACAAATTACAATGGCATGACACCCTTGTGTGGCACTGTAAGCATCTTGATACACAAAAATATTTTGTCGATGGGATAAATCCTCAAAAATCTGAGATTCTTCAACCTAGAAAAATAATAAAATTAAATTTTATAATGTAAATTTACAAAATTTTATATTTACTTTTGGATCATAGATATGTATACAGGCTCCCTCATCCAATAGAGTGTTTGCTACATGAATAGCAGGGCTTTCTCTGGTATCCCCTGTGTTTTTTTTAAATGCAAATCCAAGAATGCAGATTTTTTTACCGCTTACTGTATTGAACAAAGATTGTATAACTTTCGAGGTAAACCGAGTTTTTTGGAAGTCGTTCATGTCAATTACTTGCTGCCAATACTGGGCAACCTCTGGCAAGTTTAGGCATTCGCAAATGTAAACCAAGTTTAGAATGTCTTTTTGGAAACAACTACCACCAAAACCTAAAAAACAAATGTTATAAATATTATAGAATGTATATTTAACTTTATACATTACGAGAAAGTAGGGTTTTTCAAATAAATGCAGTAAATTCACTAAGCAAACACTAAGCAGACAGCAGGATTATGCTCATAGATTTCTGGTTTTTAGTGCCTAATACCAATTTGTTATTTTTGAAGCAAACATTACCTAAATAATGATATTAAGACTGACCTATTGAAGCTTGTAAAAATTTTGCACCGATTCTGGTATCACATCCAATTGCTTTGGCTACTTCAGAGATATCAGCACCTGTTGCCTCACACACAGCTGATAAGGAATTTATACTGGATATTCTTTGAGCTAACATTGCATTTGCGGCCTAAAAAGGAGAAAAACTAGTAAGAACTTTTAAAAATTACTAATACCATCCCACCTCTTTTGAACTGGCAGCAACCCAGTGTAGGGACCATAAAATAATAGATTCTTAAACTCAATTTGTGACATATTTTTCAAAAATCAAATATGGGTTATTACAAAAAATAGTTACATTATTTTTTTTTTAATTAAGGGTAGTCTTGGCTACTTTTAGGTCAACTTATGCGCGATGTGTTTGTTCATAGATTATTTTTCATAAAAATACTTCTCATTAAATCAGATTAGGGAATCTTAAATATATTATGTTATACAGGGTGTACACGCCAAAATAAGAAAGTTTTTCCTCTATCATTTTTGCATTAGTGCCATTTTTGTTTAATAAAATTTTTATTAAAATTAGATATTTTGGGCCGCCACACAGTGGGCTGGAGAGCCAATTTAACGCACAGAAATTATTTGGTTAAGTAATTCTTAGTTGAGGTTAATTTTTTTGGTTTTATGGATGAAATTTAATAAAGATTACTTTTTACTACCAATAGAAAAACAAATCCACAATATAATACTAACAACAAATATTTGTGTGATGGCAAAATTGATATCTATAGTTTTAATGAGTAAATTACAAAAATATAACTGAACATTTATAAAATAAAACCTAATTGTTACGTATGACAGTATTTACTTCTGGGCTTTCAGCGATTTTCTATATTTTTTTAAAAAATTAAATTTTTTTTATTAAGTTTTTTCCGAGATACATTTATTTTTATAAATGCATAGTCTATTAAGTAATTTAAAACCAACTTTCTATTAAAATGCTTAAAACAAAAAATATTTGTGGCGCCTACTAGCACTTGATTTTAGATTTATTTAAAAGACAGAACAGTAAGCTATTAAAAACACTTAACAAAAAGTGTGAGAATGCGTGACATTTTTAAAACCTTCCTATTGTTCATACATACAAAAAAAATATGCAGCGCTTTCTTTATTGACGTAGGAACAGTACAATAATCATAAAAACTTAGCATTATTTGTTCCAGCCATAACGTATGACCGTATTGAATACGATGGTCAAAAATTAAAAATAAATTAGGAATTAGCATTGTAAGAGAAGCAAAACCTTCAAGAGCAATTTACCAACACAAAGCAAGTAATTATAATTCTTAAACTTTGACTGGTTACCTGATAAAAATTAAACAGATTTGAAGGTGATATAACATTATGTGATTTGCTACAGATATTAAAGAATTCAAAATTCACTAAATTTTGTCGAAATAAAACACTTACTCATTTTAAATTTTCGCACGCTGGAAGCGCTCTCTAGCCCACCGCGGTGGTGGAAAAAATTATTAATATTCACTAATAGTTATCAGTAATTAATTGAAAATTATTATTGTTATTAGTAGCTTTTTAATTAATGGTTTCCATCCACCAAAGTATGACAATATTTAATTCAATATTTCTTCTAGGCTTCCAGCGTTTTTCTATATTAAAAAAAAATTTTTGAATTAAGTTTTTTCCTAGATACATCTATTTTTGTAAATGCTTAGTCTACTAAGTAATTTAAAACCAATTTTATATTGAAATGCTTCAAACTAAAACACTTTTCACAAAGCTCCGTATGAGTTAGGAATAATGTATTAAATGAAAAAAATAAACAAACCATATTTTTTGCGCCAACTAGCACTTGATTTAAGATTTATTTGAAAGACAGAACGGTGAGCTGTTAAAAAACCTAAACACAGAGTGTGACATTGCGTGACATTTTTTAAAACCTTAATAATGTCCATACATACATTAAAAGTAAGGCTGTCAATTCCTGAAGTAATAAACGGTTAACCGGTTCGACAAGTTTTGACCGGTTTCGGTTTTAACAGGATTTTTTAAATTATTATATCCGGTTAGGATATCCGGTTAACCGGTCCAATTAACCGGTTAACCAGTCCGATTATCTGGTTAACCGATCTGATCAAACCGAGCCGGACCGGATCGGCGGTTTAAGCGTAACTAGTTTAACTGTAGCAGTCACCGGTTTAATCGTAGCAAATTCTTTGTTTTTAATAAAAAGGGATCACTTCACTAACCCGTTTATCTTTCTTTATTCGTGACAACCAGGCAGTTCATGCTTGAATTTTTTAAATAGATACTTACTCAATAAAAATGAAATTAGAATAATAAAAATACCACCAATTTTACTAAAAAATAAAAAACAAAAACATAAACATTATTCAAGTTTCTAAATAAATTATAGTTAAGTGATAAAAAATAATAACAAAACTGCCTATCTTTTTATTATTGAGTTTCGCCGAAACTATGTTGCCTGCACTGGAAAACATGAAAAAACTATAGATGTTCTTATTTCTTTTTGAATGTTTATATTTTTTTAATAAAAATACTTTTGTTTTACTAACTTTTAAATGTTAATGTTTTAAAAACATTAATGTTTATTAATATTGATTTTTTCACTTCGAAATGACATCGATAGGTTTGTTTCCACATCAAATCACAAACATGTTTCTTATAACTTTCAAACCATTCTTGTGCGCATGTCACGTTGGAAATAAATCCGCAACTTGTTTCTGATTGATGTGAAAACAGTGCACTAAATGTATAATGGGTTGCATAGCATAATAAATAAATTTTAATAAACATGTATTCACTTTCATTGAACTGGGGCACAATTTCTTCAAAAAATCTCAGGTTTTTTGTTCTTATTCTTTCTTCTAAAAGAATGTCCAAATCGGAATTGTCAGTTTCTGATGACATTGGATATTCAGATGACATTGGATATTCAGATTAATCAGATCTTCGAAGAATACATTTTTATAATACTTTTTACAATATTTTTACAATAGAAAATACCTCAAAACAAACACACAAGTTCACAACTAAAGTTGTAAATCAAGGCTATTAATTTGTATTATGCGCATGTGCCAACAATCTGCTGAAGATAATCCTCAAACTGTTCGGACTGTCGACAAACTGTCAGGAAACGATGTGGAAACAACCGACTAGTGTTTTCAACATATCATTTGATGTCAATATCGATGTTTTAAGAAATTTGAGCATCCCTAGTAAGAGCTCAAACTATGTGTCCTTTGTTTATGTTCACGGTCGCGCTTAACCCGGTTTCAGTTATGGTTAAACCAGTAACTGTTAAATCGGTGACAGCTTTAATCGGTCACGGTTAATCCGATTACGGTTAAACCGGTCACGGTTAAACCGATTACGGTTAAACCGGTTCAAGTTAAACCGGTTACGTTCTTTAACGGTTTTTGGTTCTACGAAACCGGTTAACCGGTCACGGTTACCAGCCTTAATTAAAAGTATGCAGCGGTTACTTTATTAAGGTAGTGACAGTACAATAATAATAAAAACTTACCATTATTCGTTCCAGCCATAACGTATGACAGTATTTAATACAATTACTCGTATAGTCAAAAAGTAAGAATAAATTAATAATAAACATTGTAAGCAATGCCTTTACGCGCAATTTATCAACACGAAGCAAGTAATTATAATTCCTAAACTTTGACTGGTTCCCTGATAAAAATTCAACAGATTTGAAGGTGATTTAAATATGTTTAATTATCTACAGATATAGTTAAGAATTCAAAATTCCCCAAATTTGGTCGAAATAAAACACTTGAATTTCTTCGCACTGGAAGCGCGCTCTAGCCTACTGTGCGCCAGTGACCTATGCCAACTGACGCAAAATATGCTTGCACAGTGGGCAATAATCTACATTCATTAAAAATTTACATTTGTGTTATCATTGATTACTTTGATGATAATTGTACTTATTTTTGATTGTTAGGTATCTCGAGGTTTCCGTGGTTTTCCCGTCGATTTTAAATTTCACCTTTCACTTTTTACGTCGATTGATGTTCATGTAGCTATTTTTTTTAATGCTTCACAAAATCATAATAAATGTTCAACTATCCCGCCGTTATTATCCACACAAAGTTGACAGCGGCGTAGAAAATTATGATTAGAAGAGCGACACTTGCTACCATATCCGGATGATTTCGGATTTCATGTGCCGCTTCAGTGACAAGTTCGCGGAGTTGTTCTATTGTGTCAACTTCGCTCTGGTACATTAAACTGTTCATGTAGCTCCAGAAAAACCAAAATAACAACCGAACTGTCAGTAATCGATGATAACAAAGTACCTAAGTAGGTAGAGATGTAAAACACGGTTTTTTTTTTCAGATGTGAAAAAAAACATGAAAAAAAACTCCTTTACCAATCTTTATCAAATTTTGTATAAAAATACTTCAACTTATATTTCAGTTTACGTGTTCGAGGGTTTTTCGAGAAAATATTTTTAAAGCCCTTTTATTTAATAATAAAAAAACGTTCGAAAATAACTTTTAGGGAATTTTTTAACTAAATAAAAAATATGCTTCAAAGTCGGTAAAAATTACCCCTTTTTGATTATTTTGCTGAAAAGTGGTCATTTTGACGACTTTGAAGCGCTGTATTTTTGTTACTGTTTGTTTGATTTGTACAAAATTTTCAGGGTATACTAACAAAAATACAGTCTTTCACAGTAATTTTTATTTACTTTAAAAAAAATTCCCTATAAAAGTTTTTTTCGAGCGTTTTTTATTATTAAATAAAATGGCTATAAGGATATTTTTTCAAAAAACCCTTGAACACGTAAACTGAGATATAAGTTAAAGTATTTTTATCCAAAATTTTATAAAGATTGGTAAAGGCCTTTTAGAGTTGGATTTTTTACGTGTTATGCGATAATTTTGACGCGCAGTGTATGAAATTTTGAGCAAAATGGATATTAATAATAAAGTTAAATTTAGAATATATTACATTTTTTATGATTGAAAATTTAGTATTTGGTAGTTTCCACAAAAGAAACCAATAACAATGTAAGTCTTTTATAGAAAGTTACTTTTTTTTAAGATCAAATCAAAACAAGCGCGGCCCTTATTGGTCAATTCGGAGGTGGTGGCGCGTGCATAGCGCGAGACTGTATTTACATTTACTAATGTTATTTAGTGGCTAAATTTTAGTCTATGAACTGGACTGAAAACATAAAAAATTAGACAATGGATCTAATCTTTAAAAAAACCTGTTATATGAAAAAAAGTCATTTGAAAAAAAACAATGAAAAAAAAACCTGAAAAAACGGACCGTTTTTTTCAAGTCACATCTCTACTAGTAGGTTCTACCCACAATCCACAATCTACCAATGGATTGTGGTTCTACCTACTAATCGATTTTAAATAAGTTTAAAAGTGTGCTTACATAATGAACTGTACGCATACCTGTTTGTATTTTGCTTGGATAAATAATATCATAGTTTTTAGAGGTAAACACAGTGTCTCCCTGGTTGTGTATAAAAAATCATAATTTTTTTAATAATAAACAGTAGCTCTAATGCAAAAAATGAGGAAAAACTTTCTTGTTTTGGCGTGTACTATCATCCCCCAAAGGATGACAATTTATTAGATGACCCTGTATAACAGTAAAGAATATCAAGAATATTTTAACTTACTAGTTTTGAAAGTTCCGACGACCACGTATTGGTAGTCAAAATCTTCGACTTTGGTATCCAATTTTCGTATATCCCACATAGAGCCTCTATTGCAGCTTGTCCCTCTGGAGTCTCCTCGCCACCAATCAACACTCTGTCGGCATTAAGTAGATCATTAATGGCGGTACCTTCCGCCAAAAATTCAGGATTCGAGAGTATTTGATAGGAGATGCCTTGTTTTTGGTTGGCCCGTAAAATTTTCATAATACTGTCCGCAGCTTTAACTGGCACTGTGCTTTTTTCGACGACTATTTTGTCACTTTTCGCCACCTCGGCGATCAATCTCGCCGCTCCCTCTACATATTTTAAGTCTGCTGCTCTTCCCTAATAATATAAACAAAATCTATATAAACCTGTTATTTTTCAATAATTTTGGTTTGACCAACCAATTTTCAAGAAACACATTTTCACTTTTTAAACAAATTTTTACTAAAAATAATTTTGGTCCTAGGCCAATCTCATATCATATGAATATGTGCGTGAAAAATTAGCAAAAATATGTAGGGAACAAATATCTAACTGAACAACCAACCAGTGGCAGCTCGTGGTCAATCGAAGTAAGGAGCTACAAGTGGTGTAACTTTTTTTCAAGTTGCGTTTGCCATTAAAAAAAATAGCCAATGCACACGTATTTTAATTTTAGTTTCCCATGTTTAAACAAAAAAACATAAAATGTTAATTAATAAAACGACACCTATAAGACAGTTATTAAGACTGCTTTAGTTCAAAGTTTGAAACATATATTTGTTATATGGTTTAAACGTCCACTTGCCCAATAAAGTAAGCCTCTAATGATCCTGGTACAGATGTAGCTAAAAGTTTTTATTTTCAAAGCTAGGCTTCAAATTATAACGATAAAATATAAATTAAAATAGGAATACTCATAAATACACTATGTCAGTATAATCATTAAATAATAAGTTGGCTAATCTACAATTTTTTAAATTTTTATTACGCAATATCTGTTACCATTTCAACTAACACTGAGTTCAAAGTGACCAGGCTTTCCGCAGAATGACTAAATACACGTCCGTCAATATAACTGCTCAACTGTTTACTTTGTTTGACAGAATTAAATAGTCAATCCCTTAAATAACACAAAATTTCAGTTAAAGAAAGGAATATTCATCGTTTGCCGGCTTTACGATCAATGACTACGACCTAGTCCTTATTTAGGGAATTATCAATTTTTTTCACGATAGTCCTAATTAAGAACTCCTAAATCGGTTTTAAATATATAAAAAAAATTCTGTCAAGGTTTAGATAAAAGATAGAGATAAAAACATGTCTTTTCAATTTTCTACTACTTAGCTTGGTCAAATTAGGGTTTTACTTAAAATTATCTTTTTTCTCATTTCGAGCTCTTAATATTAATTTTAAAAGGTCCATCATTGAGTTTAAAATTTTCCCATTGATTTAACAAAAGAAAAAATAGTTTTTAAGATTTATTTCGCCTACATACTTTATACTATGTACAACTTTTTTTTTGATAAACAATCACTGGTCCTTTTTAGCATTAAATTGTCTACAAAAATCTTACAGAGTCCAGTCTGTAGATTCAACTGTTTCTTTTTTATTAACGTTGAAACTTATACATTCTAAAAAAATTGATATTTTTACATTTAGCAGCTAAATTACTAATCGTAGAAAAAAAAGCCAATTAGCAATTTTGAATATCTTTTAATGTTCTACAAATTCGTTTTTAAACAATTTTTTCGCCTACAGTTCAAAAGTTATAGGTGTCTAAAATCCTATTTTCATGATTATGCATAATATATTATTATAATATTTACTGTAGGAAAAACATTTGCAGGAAACTCGAAGCACTATAAATAACGTACCAAGATTCTTCAACACACTCAATTAATCGCTGAATTTAAGCTAAAATAGCTTAACTTTTATGATATTCTTAATTTCATGATCCAGCTTTGAGTGCAAATAAAATTTTATACTTCGTTTCAAAAAAGTTTTGATATACTGAAAATGATTTTAAACCTTAAATTTGTAGAGCATTAAAAGATCTTCAGTGATTGTTTATAAAAAAAAAATGTTCTACATAGTATGCAGGCGAAATAAATCTGAAAAACCTATTTTTTCATGTTAAATCAATGGGAAAATTTTAAATTCGGTGATGGACCTTTTAAAATTAATACCACAGACTGGACTCTGTAAGATTTTTTGTAGATAATTTAATGCTAAAAAAGGACCAGTGATTGTTTATCAAAAAAAAGTTCTACATAGCATGCAGGCGAAATAAATTTTAAAAAACTATTTTTCCATGTTAAATTAATGGGAAAACTTTAAATTCGATGATGGACCTTTTAAATTTAATATTAAGAGCTCAAATTAAGGCAGATTTTTTTTTTACTATAAGAGAATATCACATGAATTGAAAGAAAAAAATATTGCCTTATTTTGAAACACTCTAATATATATACATGAAATATATTTGTAAACTACGCATACAAGTTTGTTATTATTTTTTTACATATTATGTACCAAGAATAACGAATGAATCTTTTTATAGCATGGTTTCTAGGTTATGTTTAATATTCATTTAAATCGTTTCAAACTCGAGAAAAAGTATATATTAGAGGTGCGAATATTAAATTTTAAAAATAATTGTATGAACTTTATGTTAAAATACGATAGTTCCAATACAGACGGGAAGTCGAGCAGATGTGTTCGAACTCGAGCGCTCTTAACTATCTAACCACAATAAAAGTCTTAAAAAAGCGCTCATATACACTGTAGTTCAATGAAAATACAGTGCGAAATTAGTGCAAAGTTTTACTACATGTGTAGGTAAAATCAGTGCCTCAAAAAGCAATCCCTCAACAAGTAAATACAGGAAAAAAGTCCATACTGACACGGAAGTAATTAAGTGACAAGGGGCAGGTCAACCACAGGTCAATGAATCACCTAACCAAGAGTGGAAGGGGCCATCATCTGCAAAATGTGATTAAGTATTAAGTAACTGCATGACCTAATACGCAAATTTGCAACAAAAACCTTACAATAATCAATCATTATTACATAGTATATAAACCAATAATTAAGTAAGAACGTCACAAAAAAATATAAGCATAACCTTAAGAGGCCATTAATTTAAAGTGTTTAAAAGTCACCGAAACTAAAATAAACAACAGTCTCTTAAAATAAATTAAACGAGCAAGTAAAGAAGAAGTTACCCATACACAGAAAAGTCAATGCAGTCATACAAAGGGCAACTAACGACAACTGAGTTTACGCACAGTGGGGTAAAATAATTCGTGTGTATCTGTTATTATTTTCAGCAGGTTAAATAAAGGCGGGCTAAACAGCTGTTTTTATTAAACACTCGCTCGCCAGCTTTGCACGTGCCTAATAAAACTCGTAACTAAAATGGCCTTTATAAAACTTAATACATAATATAATATTATCAACTACCTATAACCCAAATTATAAAAATAGAATAATTATTAGGTATACTGTATTTTTATAATGTTGCTGTTAATTGATAAAACTTTTAAAATAATAAAATCTATTTTAAAAATACATCTTTTCCCATTGAAAACTTTATGTTAATACTATTATTTAATGCTAAAACTTGTCAAGATTTATTTTTATTTATTTGGAATCTATTCAGGACTGTCGTGAAAAAAAAATACCTTAAATAAATATAAAAAGATATTAATTTATATAGGTATATTATATCTCGATCAGATCCAATCAGATGTATGGGTATCTATCTCAAACTTAGAAGAAACTTCTAAGATCTCAAATGAAATTTATAAAGTAAAAAAAAACAGCGGTTCTCAATATATTAAAAAAACTGAAATACTTGATCAAGTATTTCAGTTTTTTTTAAATATTTTTTTGTATTGAGAACCGCTGTTTTTTTTACTTTATAAATTTCAATTGAATATAATACATTTAATGTAATTACATTCATTGTATTATAAACAAGTAAGTATTTTTATATACACAATAATCTGCTTTGAGGTCAATTTGGAAAATTGTAATAAACGCCATTTTAGTTACGAATTTAAAAGTTTATCAAAGAGTTGCCATACTATAATTTTATTACGAAAATACTTATTATTATCTAAACATTATTTAAATTTAATATTTGTACAGAGCGACATCTATAAAACAATAGAGTAACCAACTTGGGAATCTGTGTGACCGTCAAATGTCAAATTTGTATGTGTTATAAATCAAAATGTATCCCATGAAAATAGATTAACAACAGTTTTTTACAGTGAAAGTAAAAAAAAAATGTTTTATGAGCACAGTCCGAGCCCGAAATTAAGTTATATCTAGTTTACTGCAGGCAAAATTAAAAGGTCAGTACAATGTTTATATTAACTTTCTAAATATGGGCGTTGAGAAACTATTTATTATTTTTGTACTTTTGCGTTGAGATAATAAAATTTGTTCCACATTTAAATTTAGTATTATTTTACAAGAAAGGCACTTTATTTTAACGATTGTATGACATTTTACAACTGTCAACTAACTTAAAATTAACTCTTTTATCTAGGAACTAACTAACTAGGCCGTGACTAAAAACCTGCCGCTAAATTCAGCCCGTGACTAAAACGCTATAAAGCCACAACTTTGCTATGTGTATTTAAAAGGTCTGGGACCATAGTCACGACGCAGCCAGTTTGATTCGCAGTGTTGCCAAATCGTGCTTGCCCCATTTGGCGCGTTTTACGAATTATAGCTTAGTTTATCAAACAAGAATCCTCCAAAAATATCCTATGCTTTGGGCATTTATTTTTTTATTTGCAGCCCTGCCGAAAATGACCTATAGAAACCAATAGGAAAATGAAATGGTTTATATCAGATTTAATGTGTACTGGTTTTTATTGTTACCAAAGAGTTTAAGGCTAAATGGGGATTACCCAAAAAAACAATTCAAGTAAATTATGTTCTCCAATTGATACTAATTCACCAGATTCAAAACTATAAACCCCTATACATTCCAATATAAATTCCCATTGGTTTCTATTGTTCTTAAGGGGAATTTTTGGCAGGGAATGCTGAATTCTAAAAAGTTACATAATAATCCCAAAATGTTTGTCAAATTCTAAACAATTTTTAACCTACATGTGGGTTGTTACCTTTCCATTTCCTATATTTTTGGTAGGTGTGTTGACTGATATAAATATTAATTCTGCATCCAAAATTGCCCTTTGAACATCACTGGAAAAAAATAGGTTTTTTCCTCTGCATTCTTTCACAATTTTATCAAGACCAGGCTAAAAAAGATATGTTGGTTTTACATTTAAATATTTATATTTAGATTCATGTCTAGAAATATTGCTAATTAGCAACATAATTTTTTCACAATTTTATCAAGAGTAGGCTAAAAAAGATATATTGATTTTACATTTTAATATTTATATTTAGATTCATGTCTAGAAATATTGCTAATTAGCAATAATTCTTTCACAATTTTATCAACACCAGGCTAAAAAAGATATGTTGGTTTTACATTTTAATATTTATATTTAGATTCATGTCTAGAAATATTGCTAATTAGCAATATTAAGTACATATACAAAAGTAATTTTGACATACCTAGTTAACTATGTCAAAATTACTTTTACAAGTATTATGTACTTTAAGCTTTTCTATAAAATGTGTTAATTAAATTAAATTAACACATTTTAAATGCGACATTTTATAGAAAAGCTACTTATGAATATAATATAATTCTTATAAGCCATAATACTACAGTAAATAATTATAATTATGTAATGTTTTTCTATGCAACAATTAAAAACCAATTTTTAAATAAAATAATTTGTGTACGTGTTTTGATAAAAAATATACCTATTTAACAAATTATGTACTTGCCTCATAAATTGGTAATTTTTCTGAATTCCATTGTGCTATTCTTTCCTTGCTTAAATCTGCTACAGTCACCTTAATATTTGGGCATTTGTATGCAATCACACTGCAAGTAGGCCCCCCTACGTAACCTGCTCCCAGGCAACAAACGTTTTTTATAGTCATTATTTTTTTATCTGTAAAAAATATCATTAATTTTTAATATACTTATTTCATGAATTTATTGAATTCAATAAACAAAAGATCAAAACTCAAGACCTCTGAATATTTATTTTATAATCCTATGCGGATTTGTTGTTATACAAATGTTATACATATGTACATACATTGGAATAAAAATAAATATTTAATTTACTCAGAAGCGCTAAAGGTAAATATTATAATTATTTATTTTAGTTAAGTATTGTAGTACAATGCAATACTTTAAATAAAAATAATAAAACCTTGTTCAAACAAAATTACGTAATGCCCTTGCTTTACAATTTTTTGTAACATTATATTAGGCGCAATTGTTAAACATAAAATGTTAGAAAACATTGTAAAAACAGTATACATTCAAAGTTAGGTTCTAAATTTACATTCCAACAACATTGTAGGACTAAAAGTGGGAAAACGTTATTTTCTACCAGGGATAATTTTGTTTTTAAATTTTCCCATCAGTAAAAATTTAAATATTGTGCTAAAACACAACATAAATTAACAATTACCCAATGACTACCTGTGATATTTTTTAATCAAGCAATTAAAGAAGAAAATCCTTGAAAATAATGTAGGTAAGTATACCTTTTTATTGAATGTAAGCCATAAAATTTAATTTAAGTTTTAATGATACTCCTTGTAGTAATGAGGTTGAGTCAATTAAATAAATATAATCCTACTTTCTATCTCTTTTTATGAAAAAGTTTGTCTGTATTTATGGGAATTAAATAATTACCTTTACATCTACAGCTAACAATAAGAGGATATTAATGATGAGATTTATGATTCAAAGATTTATCAACAATAATTCTTAAGGTAAACAGGTAATTAAATACATTTATCACGAATCTATTCTTGTTTATGAGATGTATACAGGGTGTTTCTTTTTTTCTTTAATAAAAAATGATTTTCTCATCAAAAAATGTTTTGTAATTTTTTTATACCTACTTAAAATAACCCCTCAGCATTGCAAATAGTAAGTGAGCCATTTTCGGGACACCCTGTATAAAACGTTGCAATGAAGAAGTAAATATGTATATTAAAATAATTTACTACCAAATTTAAATTACAGATAAAAAAATATATGCTGCATTCTAAAATTATCAATGTTTAAAGTAAATTGATAAGCATAATAAATTATAATTATGTCTGAGAATTATAGTCTATAATAATAATCTATATGTCTAGGTCTAGATATACCTATGTACCTAAGAATTAAGATAAAACTATTAGTTAATCAATTATAATTAGGTGGCTTAAAAATACTTGTGTATTTTTTAAAAATATTTTCAATGCGCTGTCACTTCCGGTTAAACCGGAAGTGACAGCCACTTTTTTTTTAAATGGATCCCTATAAATATTATTTCATTTTTGAATTATACGTAAAATTCTGGAGCCTTTGTAATTTTAATCATTATCCTATTTCCAATTGTTTTTGAGATATATATTTTTTTCTAAAAATTTTGACAGTGACTAAAATTGCCGTTGAAAATACGTAAGGGCGTAGGTATCTCGTTGTTTGTGCTAAACATATTATTACTTAATATTGCTTCGCAACAAAAACGAGATACGCCTTTGCGTATTTTCAATGGAGAAATATCTGTATTACCAGCTAGGTAATTGTTGGCAACAATAATTGTATAGTAATAATATATTATAATAATTATTGTAAAAGTTCATTCTTGGTATACACAGTAGGTACCAAAGGAGTATCCTATCAGAAGCCACTAATACAATTTGTATACAGGGTGTTTGGTATTTCCGTTTACCTTTTTTCCACTTTACATATTTCAAATGGAATTACCATACAATTTTTCCGTAATTCGACGCTGTATTTATACCAGCACGCAAAAAATGAAAATTTTTGTAGGTATAATATTATATAGGTACCTACCTACCTACCTACCTATTTAAAATATATGAAAATCCATAAAGTTAAAAATTATATTTTAATTATTAATAATCATTTGTTTTTGTTGCATTAAATTTTAATTATAGTTGTAAAAATGCAGTAAAAATGCAATTTATGAATGAAACAATACATAAAATGTGTGTAATAAAAACACTTACCACCTATAGTAATTATTTTTACCATAAAAATTACGGACAAATTCTTACCTTATCTATTCACTTATTTTATTTATTGGACACGTCTACAAGAGCACCAAAACTATTTTACGGGTTCTATTTATTATAAACTGTTTTAATGACGTGAAACTAACCTAACTTATATAGACCTTTTTTGAAGGTTGCTACAACGTTGCCACGTCTATTTGATAGAATTTTAACTCTATGTATGACTTTTGGAAGAGGTTTTTAATAATGTTTTATATTTATTAATAAAAATATTTTATATTTAATATTTTTTATTTATATAAAATTGTTTGATAAGGGTATTTTAAAAACTATTTGATTTGTCATGTTCATAGTTGGTACTTTATGTTATGACAGGTTATTAACCTAACTTTTTTTAAACATTCTATCTTTAAAGACAATGAATTCTGTGGTAATTAATAAAATAAAAAATGAAGTAACTAAGTGCACGTTTATAGTGCCTGTAATTTATTTTTTTCTTGTCACGTTAGTGGAGTTATGGTTAGTGCCCCAGCACAATTCCACAAAACATAAGCACAATTCCACAGAACATAAGCACAATTCTGCGCACTCTAACGTGGACGTAGTAACCACAGAGTAGTAACTTTGAATAACAAATTCATAGAGCCCACATGTGGGCTCCATGAAAAATTAATAATAGTTTTATTTTTTTTGTCCAGGTTTGTGATTTACAAAATAAAGGATGTGGACAAAAAGAGGCTGTATTAGCTTTGCAAGTTTATTTAGAGTTATGCGAGAGTAAGTAATTTGATTTATGATATAGGTAATTTAATAAACAATATTCTTACTTTTAGTTAAAAAATATTGGAATATTGATTATCATTTTGAAGATATATCAGGGGCTTTTTTAACAGGATCAAAAACCAAATCAAGTTTAAAAGACTGCTTCATACCTTTACCAACAAGTAAAGTTTTAAATTTTATGAAAATACAAGAATTGTTACAAATTCACAAAGAGTATAATAGGTAAGTTTAAAAATTAGAGGATATTTTTTACATATTTGTAAAAAATATCCCAGCAAAAATACATTTTACGTAACCTATAGGTACGTACCTATAGGTAGGTACCTTTTTTTGGCATTTAATATAAAGTGACCATCCGTCCCGATTTAGGCGGGACAGTCCCGATTCTGAGCTAAGGGTCCCGATTTAATAACCGTCCCGCTTTTGTCCCGCTTTCAATAAATTCAGACTATTAACTTTTACTCTGATTGTTTAGAATATTTAAGCCAGTACAGTAGTAAAAAAGCTCCGACATGGGAACAAGTACAAAACAGTTTTGAGTTTCTTTTAAAAAAATTCCCTAAATGCACCATAGTTGAAAATGATTTATTTGATGAGACTCAATATGTTCATAATTATGTTTCTGAGAGTAAACTTATTTTTTGGACTGAGCAAAAAACTCCCACAGATCAAAAATGGGTAGAAATGTTTAGTCATTTCGATGAAAATAACATTCCTTTCAATAATATTTTAAAATTAGTACAATATATATTATGCTTGCCCGGTACAAACGCTTCTACCGAACGGGTTTTTTCTATGATTAAATCACTAGAACTATTTAACAGCGATTAAATTTTAGCCTCCATATTGGATTTTTGTTTGCGATTTTATGGTGTTATTTACAAGTTTTAACAAACATTTCTTAAAAAACAATAAAAAATAAGTTATCTAGTTTACAAAATATCAATTATTACTTAAGTATTACATACCTTAAATTAATGGAATTTTCTTTAAACAAATATTTATAAATTTTGACACATACGTCAGATTTTATGAATTGTCAAATAGTTTAATTTGAGAAATAATCTAGACGTACGTAAGTTTTTTATTTGATTTTTCTTTTTGGAAAATAGTTTCATGCAAAATAATTAAAATAAAACCCGCTACGCGGTCTCGTGATTTTATTAAATTATTTTGCATTCAACATTTTCCAACAAAAACCAAACAAAAAACTACTGAGCCTAGTTTAACCGATTAAATTCATAGTTCTCGCGAGAACTATGAATTTAATCACGCGTGATATAATATATGATTAATAAAATTTGGACCACCGAAAAAACTAATTTGTCTGTAGAAACTTTAAAAGCTTTAGTGACTATTAAATATAATTTTAAAGGAGACTGTATGAGTTAAAAAATAAGCCCCTATTAAAAAAAATTCTTCAAAATAAAAAATATAAATAAAAATGTTATAAGTAGGTATTAACAATTTAAAATCAGAATACTGATTGTCGTTTTTACTTGTAGTTTAAACTTTGTTTTTTTTGTATTTCATTACGTATTTTGTATAACTACTTAGTATTTTTTATTTATCACTACCCTAATTCAAAATTGAAAATGAAAACAAGATTTTTGACAATTTTGTAACTTTGTCCCGCTTTTGGACTTTTAGGATCTGGTCACTTTAATTTAATACCCAGTTTCAACAAGCATGCTGGTGCAAAATTATCCCTGGTAAAAAATAACGTTTTCCCACTTTTAGACATACAATGTTGTTTGAATGTAGATTTAGAACCTAATGTTGAATGTATAATGTTTTTACAATGTTTTTTAACATTTTATCAATGTGTTTAACAAACATGCCTAATATAATGTTACAAAAAAATGTAAAGCAAGGGCAATACACAATTTTGTTTGAACAAGGTTTTATTATATTTATTTAAAGTATTGCAATGTACTAAAATACGCATTAGATTATAAAATAAATATTTAGAGGTCTTGAGAGAAGCTATACCCTACTATGGAGAAAGGCAGTAACTGCAAAAAAATGTAAAATGCGCTTTCTTTATCTCTGTGCGCTTTCTTGTGCTATGGACATTTTGTAACCGAATTCAACACAGAAATGCAGTCAAATATCTTATAAGTTAAAAAAATCAATTAAATACCTACTGCTTTTTATAAAAATGTAGTTTACGCTAATTTTTCACAAATTTCTTGTTTAGCAGTTACTGCCTTTCTCCATAGTTGGGCAGTATACGTGTACACCTTCATACAAAAAGTTTTGATCTTTTGTTTATTGAAATAGGTATACAAGAATTTTTACAAATTCACAAAAAAATATAATATATTATACCTATAGGTATAATAGTTAAAAGATTAGAGGATATTTTTTACATACTTAAGTAAGTAAGTAAGTAAAAAATTTTTTGGCATTCAAAGCCCAGTTTCAACAAGCATGCTTGTTGAAACTGGGCAAGCCAGCTCAGTGGCAGCTCCACAGTTTGTTATTTTTTTTGTAATTGGTCTTTTCTTTTTTAATTTTGAGGCAGTTTTTCAAATCCTATTTTTTAAACAAATGCACTGAATAAAGATTGGATAGAAACTTATTAAAGCTATTTATACAAGTACTTTTAGAGATATTAAGCAATTTAAATAGTAAAAATACTTTTTTTTTTGTTATAATTTTTTCTGGTTTGTTTCTCTTTTTAATAATTGTAATTTAATAAAATAAATATTGTTTTACCATTACCATTTTAATTATAAATCATTATTTATTAACTAAATATATCGACTTATTGAACATTAAAAAAAATATATTTAATACAATCCAAATTTACATGACATAAAAACAAGCATAAAACAATAATTAAGTAAGAACAAGATAGAAATATTTTATAAAAAAAGAATATTAGTTACCTATCTTAATATTATATATTTTTTTGTGTATCAATCAATGTTGACATCTTAATTCATGCTTCAACCTTTTTATGCCATAATTATTTTTTTAATTTTTAGTTAATCCTTTAAAAATTTGTATAAAATGTAATATGTTTTAAGTTTAAAACATTATTTCATTACTTAATTAATTTTTATCTGTGATATATAGGACTTTTCTGGTATTTGTAAGTGAAGATTCTACCACAGTATATTACCAGATAGCAGATGGCTTAACTGAAATAACAGACACGCAAGCAAAACATCTTAAAGAGGATAAACATGAAATTATAAACCATGAACTTAGGAGAAACCAAAAAGCTTTAGAAGAAGCTGCTTTATATGGAACTCCAATATCTCTCAGTAGGAAATTAAAACAAAAATAAATTCAGAAAACAATTTATTTGTAATATTTAGTGATGTAAAATATAAATAAAATAAAATATTAATTGTAATCAGTTGGATATATGTTACGACATACAAATATAATTCTGATACACACAATTTAAAGTGTGTACTGGATATATAATCTGAGCAAGACTTTAAAAAGATAAACATGATTCTGCATAATTTTATTACATACCCTGTAATCTTATATAATAAACAGAATTGAAAACATTAAGGTTAATGCAATTAAAAAAAATTAACTCAATGATATGCAAGTTTGTAAAAGAACTTGCTTTAAACAAATTTCCAAAATATAATTAAAAACATCTTGCTTCAGTAATCGAAAAATGATACATTTTAGGGTTAGTAACTATTTACAAGCTAATCACTTAAAAACAGGCACTTCCTCAAACCACATTTTTTAGAATATTTGAATTGCAGTCTCTATTGTGATACTTTTTGATTAATTATTGGAAGAACAATTTGCCAGCACAACAAAGTTAACATGTTATAAGTTTCACAAATTATTAAATAAAATATTTGTACAACAAAACTCAACTGCTTTAGAGGAAAATTTAAAACTATAAATTCTATAAATTAAATAAATAGTCAATTAACAGTTTTAATAACAATTCAAGAATGGAAATCGCGAATTAAACGTTTTGATACAAAAAATGAACTTATAAAAAGATTTCCAATGAGATCTTAAAATGTACAATCATTTTATACAGTGTATTTGTTCTGGTGAGCTCTTTTCTGTACATAGAGGAATCCAAAGTAAATAAATTATTTACAATCAAACTAAGTAATGTTTGATTAAAAAAAATAGAATAAACAGCTAGCCAAAGACTGTTACATAAATATATCATATAAAAAGTATTTATAAAATTGCTAATTACACTGGGTATCTCTATTAATAGCAACTTGTTGATTTGTTCATGTTATTTTTAGAAAATTAGGAATTCCTTATTGATGTCAGCACCAGTCAGCCACATAAGTAAAGTCCCTGAACAAGTTCTGATCATGGCTGCTCAGCGGTCTTGGTTCTCTCGGAGGGGTTAGTTGAGCTTTCTCCGAAGTGAACTCCTCATCAAAGTTGCTGACATCTTCAAATGAGTGCTAAAAAGATAGGTATGTTCATTGAACTATTTGAAATGCTGGCGTTTATTGTTTCTACTTACAACTGTTGGCACAAATGGAGGTGGCACTCTTCTGTGTAATAACTCATCCCATATAATGGTCCTGAAGAAAGCTTGTTTCTTCACGTCTTCCGCGTCTCTTTCACTTGAACCCAACCGTCTATCTGGATTTTTGCGTAATAACTAAAAAAATATTGTAAAAATTAAAAAGTTTTGTTTTTGGTTAAAATATTTTTTTGTTCAATTACCCAGGCCCACAAAATAAAAAAGTTGTGTGTGCTAACAAACCATACTTATTTATTGTATTTTTACCCGCTGAACCCGAATCTAAAGTTATAAATAGGGGTAACTAATCAAACTGGCCAGGAAAACCCTGTTATAACTGATATAATCTACAGTGTGACCCATTTGTTTGCGACTCAGATGGCGCTCTTTGATTTAAATCATTTTAAGATAATATTAAGTATTTGTCGTAGAAAAAGTATAGTATGCACCTTGTTTATAAACTTTTCTATACACGCATTAATTTAAGAACTCGCTCGCAAGCTTGCTCGTGCCTAAATTAAATTCGTGTATAAAATGGCGTTTATCAAACTTGATACATAATATACTATTTTCTTAGAAGCTTGATCAGTAACTTCCAATTCATACTTTAGATTTGTTTTAAGCAGAAAAAATACAACAAATAACCTCCAAACAATTTTTTTAATTTTGTGGGCCTGTGTTATTATTATTATAAGGACATAGTTTTCTTACCCTTCTCATAATCGCTATTGATTCTAACGATAGGAACCTGGGGTAACGAACTTCATCATTCACTATTGAGTCAAAAACTTCTTCCTCATCATCACCAGGGAAAGGCGACTACAATGTACAACAAAATGTATAGAATTGTTAATGAATTGTAACGCTTTTGATTCACTTACCTCTCCCACCAACATTTCAAATATAAGAACACCCAAACCCCACCAATCGACCGCTCTAGTGTAGGAAGTTTCGGTCAACACTTCTGGCGCCAAAAATTCAGGGGTGCCACAGAAAGTACCCGTACGGTCCATGAAGCCCATACCCTCTTTGCACAAGCCGAAATCGGCAATCTTCACGTAACCTTCAGTATCCAACAGAAGATTGTCCAATTTTAAATCCCTGAAACAATTATTTAGATAACAACCATGTGAATTTACTATAAAATTATTTTAGTATAGTCGTCGATTGCAATTTTAACCTGGAAAGTTTTAAAAATTGGTATTTTTATAAGATTTCGAATTTTTACTTTGCCACTCTGACAATATCGTCTATATGACGTATTTTACGATGAAAATAGTCATATGATAAATTAAACTAGAAAAAATATATAAAAACAGTACTGTTTTGATGCTAAAAAATAGCTTCCATCGCCAACATGAATTTAAGCTAAAACTATTTATTTTACAATAAAAGGTTTTGACTTTTTTTTAGTTTAATTTAAGATATGACTATTTTCATCGTAAAATGCGTCGGATAGACGATATTGTCAGTGGCAAAGTAAAAATTCAAAATCTTATAAAAATACCCCAATTTTCAAAACTTGAGACGTTTCATGATCAAACTTTTGACGCACGAAAATTAAGGTAGAACTTATGATAAGCATTCTGACAGCTTATAAAAACGGTTATGTTTGTATTACCAAAAATACCATAGCAACAAAGCGTTGTCAACATAACGTCGGCGACGCAACACCTACTTAATATTTTTGTCATAATTTTATAGCCCCATACCGGGTTATAGACCAGTGCCGAAGCATTTAAAAATGGTAAAAAGTGAAAAAAAATTACAGTAGGATGAAACCCATTGGAAAAGGAGGAGAATATAATAAAAAAGAAAGAAAAAATAAATTACGGGCGATCTGACTTCGGGAAGTGGGAGGGGGGGGGTTTTAAGGGTAAAAAATGGTTTATCTCGATTTCCGGCAAAAATACAAGTCCTATGGAAAAAAGTTAAATGGCAAAGTTGTAGGTAATAAAAAGATCTACAACTTTTCTATTTACAATTTTTTCACATAACCTCAAAATTTATGTGAAAAATTCAAATAACCAAGTTTTTGGTTTTTTATTTTTATCTTTTTCAAAAAAAAATTTTTTCCACGAAATTTGGTGAAAACTTGCCTTTTTATGTCCCAAATACACTGTAATTTATTTGATTTGAAATATTTATTATTTCACCTTATTTATATATAAAATAATATAATAAAAAAGAAAGAAAAAATAAATTACGGGCGCTCTGACTTCGGGAAGTGGGAGGGGGGGGCTTTAAGGGTAAAAAATGGTTTATCTCGATTTCCGGCAAAAATACAAGTCCTATGGAAAAAAGTTAAATAGCAAAGTTGTAGGTAATAAAAAGATCTACAACTTTTGTATTTACAATTTTTTCACAAAATTTATGTGAAAAATTCAAATAACCAAGTTTTTGGTTTTTTATTTTTATCTTTTTCAAAAAAAAAAATTTTTCCACGAAATTTGGTGAAAACTTACCTTTTTATGTCCCAAATACACTGTAATTTATTTGATTTAAAATATTTATTATTTCGCCTTATTTTGACTTAATATCAAAAAAACACCCTTATTTTCAATCGAAAATTCTCGCGTCAAAATATCAGCTTTTTTCAAAAAGTCGGTGTGCTTTTTGTTCGTTGAAATCTCTACTTTCTGGTGGTGTAAAAAAATATACATTACTATGGTAAATGTTCTCAGAAAATGCAAAAAATATTATAATGAAAAACGAAAAAAACTCGAATTCGAAAATTTATTTTAATCATTATGTACAATTTCATCAAAAAAATGTGATTGTTGCAATTTTTTTTAGTTAAAAAGTTTATTTATTAAATTCTAATAACATTTATGTCAGAAAATCTCATAAAATATAAAAATACATGTAAATCATACTATTGAATTTAGATACTTCATTCTGATTACGTTATTCATTATAATATTTTTTGTATTTTCTGAGAACATTTATCATAGTAATGTATATTTTTTTTACACCATCAGAAAGTAGAGAGTTCATCGAACAAAAAGCACACCGACTTTTTGAAAAAAGCTGATATTTTGACGCGAGAATTTTCGATTGAAAATTAGGGTGCTTTTTTGATATTAAGTCAAAATAAGGCGAAATAATAAATATTTTAAATCAAATAAATTACAGTGTATTTGGGACATAAAAAGGTAAGTTTTCACCAAATTTCGTGGAAAAATTTTTTTTTTTGAAAAAGATAAAAATAAAAAACCAAAAACTTGGTTATTTGAATTTTTCACATAAATTTTGTGAAAAAATTGTAAATACAAAAGTTGTAGATCTTTTTATTACCTACAACTTTGCTATTTAACTTTTTTCCATAGGACTTGTATTTTTGCCGGAAATCGAGATAAACCATTTTTTACCCTTAAAGCCCCCCCCTCCCACTTCCCGAAGTCAGATCGCCCGTAATTTATTTTTTCTTTCTTTTTTATTATATTCTCCTCCTTTTCCAATGGGTTTCATTCTACTGTAATTTTTTTTTGTTTCAAAAATTATCGACCCTGGTCTATTAGTAAAAGGAACCGGAACGCTTAAAATGTCTTAAAACCGTTAAAAGGTAATAGAAAAAACTAGAGATGGGAATCGGAAAGTTTCCATTTTAATGAAACTTTCCGTTTTGGAAAGTTTCCAATTGGGAATTTATTTTCATTTTGAAAGTTTCTTTTAAGCTACCGGAAACATTCCTTGGAAACATTCCTTGGAAACTTTCCTTGTTTTTTTCATTTAAATGTCAATTGTTTAACAGCTGATTTTCGTTAGGACCATGATACAAGGCCAAGAAACTGAATAAGAATTTAATGTGTGTTAATTTAAAGCAGAAGAAGAAGTATAAATAATGTAAGTTATGTTACATAACCTCAATGAAGCCGGATTATTCAGCATCACAAAAAACTTATAAATAAAGTTAAAATCATTCTTACATTTTTGTTGTTTATTTATAGACATAGCAAAATGTCAAGAAAAAAACCTAGTGTTTGGAATTATTTTTTACTTAACTTTTTACTTTTCAATATTCCTATATTATATATAGGTATTAGTATATTAGTTACTTTGTCCCTTTTAATTTTTTTTACAAAATATCTAGGATTTACTAGCAGTGAATTTCTAATAGTAAACATTTTATAATAATTTTTTTATTTTTATTTTGTAGGTTTCAGTATACAATAGAAATATTCCAAAGTAAAAGATACTAAAAATAGTATTGCAGTTACATTCTTATAAACATTTTTTTAATTTTTTTTCTTAATAAAATTTAACAAAAAGTTAATGTGTTATATATTTTTGCAAATCCCTGGCATAAAAAAAAATATTTTCGCAATAAAAAATTTTTTTTTTAAACTTTCGGAAAATTTCGGGAATTTTCGATGGAAAGTTTCCGGGAATTTTCGTCAAATGGGAATTTTCCCATCTCTAGAAAAAAACTATATACATACCTCAGGAGAAAAATGCGTTTCCTCCCTTGAATATTTAATTCCCTTCGCGTCGGGCATCAAACTATTCGCGGGAGGAAAAGCACTATTTTCCTCCCATGGTATGTAAATAGCTATTTACAATAAAATTAAACAAAACATGTCAAAGTGAAGTTTTTTTTTTTAATTTTTACTTTATGTCATAAAATATTCTTATAAAAAAAAAATGTTTTTGTTTGTCATCCAATTATGGAAAGAATAAGTATTATAGATTGGGGAACGTCTTTAATATATACTCTTAATTTTTCCACTGAAGATGCACAGGGGGTGCAGGAAGGTATTATCCATAATTCAACGCAAATTTAAACATAGAAAAACACGAAATTTAAACCAATAAGGATATGACACAGAACATAATTATATCAGAGATAGATTATGTTGCCTCTTATTATTGCGCGTTTCAATTGAGTGGGTCGTTCTTTTTAATGCTTACTCACATCACAACTACTACATCTCAAAGAAACCTTTTGTCACCAAACAGTTTTTGAAGGTCATTTTTCAATATGGCGGCGCGAGCGGCAGAGATACCAGGCGACAAAGTGAAAATTCGTAGTGAACTATAAAAATACCTACTTTCAAAACTTTACAGGTAAACCCATTTTTGAGCACCAAATGACTGGACTAATATGGTTTTGGTAAAACGAACTGTTCTTACCTGTAAATAATCTTATTTTCATGAAGATACTGCAAGCCCAACACGACACAAGCAGCATAGAATACCGCCCTGGGTTCAGTGAACACGTCCGCATGTATGTGCATCATCAAATCCCCACCGGCTGCGTACTCCATCACAAAGCAAACGTGTTGCTCGGTTTGGAAGCAGGAGAACAAATTCACCAAAAACGGATGTCGTATCATGTTGGCCACCTCGAAGATCCTCTTCTCGCTCAGCAAAGACTCGACCTCGTCCCTGGATATGATGTCGCCCTTTTTCAGCGCCTTGATGGCGAAATACTCGCCGGTGTTCTTGTACTGCGACAGTATGACCTTGCCGAAGTGACCGCGGCCCAGCACGCTGATCAGGCGGAACTGGTCAATCGCCATTCCGCCGCTAGCCGCTGCCGCCTGCTGCTGCGATTGGCGGCGCGATTCATATGCGCTGTCGCGGCTGCCGATGGTCACTTCGCGCGCAGCCGGTCTTCGAATCACTTGTTCTTCGTAGCTCGGCTAAAAATAAATTTCTGTTAAGGAGACTCTTTAAAGGGTTTAAGATTATATTGAATCTTGGTAATTGGTAAAAAAATTTAGAAACTGGTCATTTTTGGGGGTTACGAAACAAAAAATGTATTAGTTAATTTTAAGAATATTTTCCCAAACTTCTAAGTCATTTGGAGTAAAACTCTAGGGGACTTTGGAAACTCCTTCCATTGGGCTCGTTTTATTACTACTTATACACTCACGTGCAAAATAATCGATCCACACAAATTTTCGATGAATTTCAATCGCAAATAACTTTTTTATTTGATGTCGGATTTAAACGAATATTAAAGAATATTGTAGATAAATTAATGGACAATCGCTCACATTTTAAAAAAATACTAAAAAATAGACCTACGTTTATAATATACAGGTTTAAACAAAAATATGTTTTTTACCATAAGTTTAAGACACTCTGTAGAGTGGCAAAACCGTATATTGTTCTAAATTAAGTTTTATTTATCAAATTACATCTATTCTTAACAGTTTTGTTTTTGGTTCACCTTGATATGTTTATTTTTGTGGAAAATATGGATTTTTTTAAAAAACATTGCAATTTCCAATATTTTTCCTGTGTGAAGAACTAAGGTTGCTATGGTCCATCCATAGCCTATGGAGAATGACAGTGACAGTTTTATTTTCTGCGAGTATAGCTTGTGACTGGATGAAGAATAAAAAAAAATTAAATTTGAATCTTTGGCAGTTGTATGCAAAAAAGTATATTTTTCGGCATAATTTAGACCATATAATGCCTTGTAAAATAGGTTGTCATCAAAGGAAAAAATCTTTGTTACTAGTCAGTTGTCTCTAGAATAAGTATGTATTTTTGAGAAATCGTGCCTACCGACTTCGAATATACACTCACGTGCAAAATAATCGATCCACACAAATTTTCGATGAATTTCAATCGCAAATAACTTTTGATGTCGGATTTAAACGAATATTAAAGAATATTGTAGATAAATTAATGGACAATCGCTCACATTTTAAAAAAATACTAAAAAATAGACGTACGTTTATAATATACAGGTTTAAACAAAAATATGTTTTTTACCATAAGTTTAAGACACTCTGTAGGGTGGCAAAACCGTATATTGTTCTAAATTAATTTTTATTTATCAAGTTACATCTATTCTTAACAGTTTTGTTTTTGGTTCACCTCGATATATTTATTTTTGTGGAAAATATGGATTTTTTTAAAAAACATTGCAATTTCCAATATTTTTCTGTATGAATTCTTAGTTCTTAAGAACTAAGGTTGCTATGGTCCATCCATAGCCTATGGAGAATGACAGTGACAGTTTTGTTGAATCATCCCTTACTTGGACATGTCATATACAGCTTTCAAAGGCTATCAAATTGTTTTTTGTAAATTAAAGTGTTAATTTTGAGGTGTCTTCTTACTTTTAAAAATGTCTCCGACTGATGTTGCCCTTTGTACTTTACTTCTTATGACGTTTAAAACACTTGCCACGTAATACTGTGACCGTCCATCCTGGATTAAATTAATAGCTCTGGCAACATCAGTCGGAGACATATCCATTTTATAAAGTAAGAAGACACTTAAAATTTAAACATTAATTTGCAAAAAACAATTTGATAGCTTTTGAAAGCTGTGTATGACAGGTCCAAGTATGGGATGATTCAACAAAACTGTCACTGTAATTCTCCATAGCCTATGGATGGACCATAGCAACCTTAGTTCTTTTTAGAAAAATATTGGAAATTGCAATGTTTTTTAAAAAAATCCATATTTTCCACAAAAATAAATATATCGAGGTGAACCAAAAACAAAACTGTTAAGAATAGATGTAACTTGATAAATAAAACTTAATTTAGAACAATATACGGTTTTGCCACTCTACAGAGTGTCTTAAACTTATGGTAAAAAACATATTTTTGTTTAAACCTGTATATTATAAACGTACGTCTATTTTTTAGTATTTTTTTAAAAAGTGAGCGATTGTCCATTAATTTATCTACAATATTCTTTAATATTCGTTTAAATCCGACATCAAATAAAAAAGTTATTTGCGATTGAAATTCATCGAAAATTTGTGTGGATCGATTATTTTGCACGTGAGTGTATATTCGAAGTCGGTAGGCACGATTTCTCAAAAATACATACTTATTCTAGAGACAACTGACTAGTAACAAAGATTTTTTCCTTTGATGACAACCTATTTTACAAGGCATTATATGGTCTAAATTATGCCGAAAAATATACTTTTTTGCATACAACTGCCAAAGATTCAAATTTAATTTTTTTTTATTCTTCATCCAGTCACAAGCTATACTCGCAGAAAATATTTGGAATTTTGATTTAGTATAATCTTGAGTTATCCTGTCTACCGAGAGAATACTTTTTTCTAAGGGGTCTCTAACACAGTTCTTAACAGCTGATGTTTCAAAAATTTTAACTCGAAACTTTTTTGAAATTGAGTTTTTTTATATTTTTAAAATAACCCTTTCATTACATTAAAAAAATAAAGAATTTCACCTTTGAAGCCCAACCCAACCCCTTAAACTCAGTAATTAAGTACCAAAATCCAAAATCTTAAGAATATATTTTGGTTAAATGTAGACCATGCAAAAATATTTCATAAAAATATTTTATGAAAAATATAAATGCATATCTAATGTTATTTATTTAGTTATATTATTATTACTTGGGTTAAAAATTAAATCTGTTTTACTTATTCAAAAACAGATTTATAGCTGGGGTAAAATAAAAATAGTCCCAATTAAAAGCCACTAGTAGTAGGTACTTTGGGGCACTAAATATAAATACCTACTTATCATAAATTTTATGAGTTAATATTTTTTACAAATCCAGGCTTTTTAATTGACTGACCTAATAATTCTTTGGAATAATTATATATAAATAATTGTATTGCATTGTATTTTTAATAAGTCATTTTTAAAAATGTGCCAAATAATATTTTTTGAAACCAACTTAATAAATGGATCCTTGCTACTATTTTTATATATGACTTAGTGTGGATTCACAATGGACATAACCATAAAAGATACATAATGAAATCATAAATCATAACCATAAAATTTACATAAAACCCAAAGAGCCTTCACAACACAATGACCATAAAAATTGACATGTCAAACTAATGTCATTTTAATTTAATTTAAATTAAAATTTGTGAATTGTGTTTTTAAAATGAGTGAGACTGAAGAATTGTTATTATTGTTACTACTAAGACGACGATGCCAAGAACGCCAAGATAGGGTAAAACCAAAACGAACAAGACGCTGGTGGGTTCGTCCTATAAATAGAGATAGAATGGTTTTTTACTTATACTAGAATGACAGCCTCATTATTTGAGGAATTGCTAAAACTAGTGTCCCCTAAATTGATTAAACATAGCATATGAAAACCACAGAGTCCAAGTCAATGGTTGGCCATTACATTGAATTTGTTTACCGAGGTCCTTCAGCAATGTGCTTAATTTTAAATTGATATTAAACAATAATAATGGCAATGGTAATGCTTTTTAATTTTAGTATAAAATGAAAAAAAAGAAGTTAGTCTAAAATGGATTTGATTAGTTCAAGTTATGTCTTTTCGAGATGTTTGAATTTCTGTTATTTTGGGTGTCTTGTGCCTACTTTTATTATAATAAAAAACTAAAATAATAATTTGGCTTTATATTAGATAATTGTCTACCAGTGACTCAACCTTTTCCATAGCAAATGGTTATAGGAACCGCAAGAGTTGCCAATATAAAAACATAACAAACCAAAAGTCACCGAATTTTCCCAAAAAATTACATAAATATTTCATAAAGTTAAATTATTTGAACTTTATGTGATTTTTACGGTACTCCATAATTTTTACATAAACGTAAATATTACGTACTATGCACATTGTGAACGCTTCTTATGTGTCCTTATGTATTTTTTTTATGTATTTCTTATGTTTTTTTTATGGTTACGTCCATTGTGAACAAGCACTTACTCTAAAAGAAAGTGGCAAAATCTTTATGTGTATTACATAATATTTTATGTCATTTTTATAAGATGATCATATATTGCATGATACAAGAATGTATCATGATATATTGCTTTTTAAGGACTATAATTATTTATACCACAACTATATAAGCATTTGTTATATACAGTATTATTTACAATGTTTTGGTTAACACTCAGTGAAAAAATAAATACACTTTATGTACATAATACAACTTGTCCTTTCTTGTAATACCAAAAATAACGTTTTTTCAAATAAACCATGCACGATCTAATATTTTATCGCAAAATAATATACTCGTACAGCAGGCATCAGTTAAAATGGTGCAGGATTTTTAAATGACCTTTTGTTGAAAAAACAGCTACCCATTGTAATCATATTACAGCTTTGACAAAAACAGTATATTTAAATGAAGTCAAAGTTAAAGACAGCGCTATGATGCATACTGTGCGTTCCACAAAAGATTGGCGGTCTCAGGAATGAGATGCAATCCTCCGTTTTTATTATATATATAGTATATAACAGCCAACGCGATACCAATAAGGACTTGTCCGTAACATAAAAATGGAGGATTGCATTACAGTTCTAAGACAATTTTTCGTGGAACGCAAAATAGTTGCATCTTGCATCCTTCACTGAATTGGGTTTCACTGAACGTTATATACAGAATGACCAAAGGGACCGGACGTTTTTGAAATGAACAATACTCGCTTATTTTCAAACGTAAAACGAAGTGGTGGTGTCAATCCTCCTGAATGCAACGCGATTCAAGGGAACCCCACAGGAAAAAAATCACTTTTTGGGGATATCCCATTGCCTCTAAGATAAAGTGTGAAGGTTACCTTAAATCACGCATTGACGGAACTGAAGTAGGCACTTAGAGAAGAAGTGGCAAGAATTGATGGTAACTGGATTTAGGCTATGGAAGGTTGGAAAATTACATTTAGAAGGATAAAAATCACCTTCCTGACGTAATATTTCATACATGCTATTAATTTAAAACAATTTTATGTTTTAAATTTAAATTTTCTTTATTGTTCATTTCAAAAACGTCAGGTTCCCGGTGGTCACTCAAAACACCAAATGGAACATGCAGATGAAAAGTGCAATACACTAAAACTAGGTTCCTTGATGTTTAATTCATAATTTTCTTCTACAAAATTCTAAACTAAACACCTTTGTAAACCATGCTAAAAAAATTCAATAAAGTGCAAACGAATCGATCATGCGAAAGCAGCCAAACAAAAAATAAGGTGGCTCGAAAAAAAAAAGACAACGGATAGTCCGAAAGTACCTCGTCGTCTGGAAATTCGATAATGGGACTGGGCGGAACCATATCGGATAGTGGTGCAGGTGTAGTGGGTGCAGAAGGAATAATAAGAGGTCCCGGACGAGAGGCGATCTCTTGGTCCTCCAGAAAATCGAACTCCTTCAGTGCCGCGCTCTGCAAATTAAGTACACAACTATTCTTTAAGCTAAATGCCCAAATTTACCCAAATGAAGGTTCAATACATTTTACAAGCAATAATTTTAAACTATACCTAGCATATGGGAGATTTATAAAAAAAATTGGATGATAGAATTTGTGAGTAAATAATCATAACATTTTTCAAAATTGGAAATTTAATTTTTAAGTACATTTAAATCCGACTATAATTGACAGAAAATTTATGAGTTCGCAAAATACAGCATTATTTTAAGCCATAATTAAAGTTTTATTATCGGTTTTAGCTGTGTTGATTACTAATATGGGCAATTCTTTTGTTGGTAACGTTACAATTTCACGCACATTTTTCGATATAATTTTTTGTTTTTTTTTTGGATAATCGAGTTTCATAACATTTAAAGGCACTTTTTATAATGAGCTTTTAACTAAACAAAAATTTTGAATGGAAGCCAAGAAATTACGGTTTTATAACGTTTTCGGAAGCTGCTTTTAACATTGTTAAACATTTCATGAAATTTCAGCTCTTCTAAGCAAAACTTTTTGTTGAGGCTTTCACATTTTCTTTTTACGGGATACGAGGTAGAAAAAAAGTACACTTTTGCAGGAACCATTGATATGTAAAACAGTAATTCAGTTATTTTCAATTCAAAATAATAATTAATGTGCAGATCACTACAGTTCCTGACACTGTTCATGACAATTTTTCCTTTAAGTCCCTTAATTGTCAACAATTTTTAGGAGTAGCGCAGTACTAAGCGACCCCACTACATGGTATTACTGTATACCGTATACGTGACGTCATGATACGTCACGAGCAAGGACCGCCCACCTGCTCGACTCCAGACAGAACTCTTTTTCAAGCGAGTCGAATATTCTTTCTCCAGTATCTATAGCCGAAACTAATCAAAATCCTTCAATGACAAAAAATTACTGTTGGTTGCGTTGGAACGTTACACAGGCATACATCACAACAATAGGAATTTCATTTCCAGTTTTGACGTATAATTTTAAGATAATAAAAATGTTATTTGCAGAAAAAATAAGTTAAATAACATTCTTTTTTTATTAAAGACTACAGACAACTTTGAATTTTTTTTTGTTGGAACGTTACATCGATCAACTGTACTTGAAACTTGCAAATGCAAAAAATGTTTGCTTTTCTGTCAATATAAGTTATTGACTAAACAAAGAAGTAGCTATATATTCGAGTTGCATACATTATTTTTTCTAATACCATAATAATTTCATAAATACCAAATTAATAAAAATGTGAAGAAAAAATTTTGACATTTACAATTATTTTATTTTTACATGTACATGTATATCAAAACTTTTTTTAAATTTATTTACGCCCTCAAGGAATAAATTTAAATGTTAGTATTAATATTAATAACAATACAAAAAAAATTAAATGTTTTCTTAAATAAAAATTATTTAATTTATGTGCTGATTTAGTTGCAGTGCAAAAATAGGAGTGTAAAAAAATACTTTTATCCGAAATCGGCAGTAAAGTAAAAGAAATCGGCAGTAAAGTAGAACTTTAATACGAGTATTATATGCAACCCATTATACATTTTAAGATGTGCCTACTGCTCCTCAGCAGCAACTAAATAATATTTAAAAAAAGCACCGCCGCGGAGGTCGATTGGACCATTTCATAAAATGTTGTTTAAGAAAAATAATAAGTTAATTTTATTAATTAGATTAAAAAATCAAATATATAATAACCGTCGCAACTAACTATACGTAGACACTTCCTACATTCAAATGACATTTGATTTAATAATAAATATTAATTATTAGAATTATTAAATGTGATTTCGGATAAAATTTAATATGCCTCGGCATTAAAGTCTTTTTTTATTACTCACGTGGTTATTTGCCTCGGCTTTCGCCTCGGCAAATAATTTCCACATTCGTGATAAAGAATACGATTTTACTGCCTTGATACATAAATAACTATTTTTAAGCGTTTACTTGTTATTTACTTTTTTGTTCTTTAAAAACCACGGGGATTATATAGGTGAAGACTCTTCCAACATATTTGAATCAATTTTAATAACGATAGCAGTAAATATTTTCTTTATCTAGATTTCTGATTTCTGAAGAATTGCCCATATACAAAATCAAAAAAATTAAACGTTGTTCTCCCATATTAATTTAAGGTGAAATAACATTTTTACTACAGATATCTATCTAAAATACACGCTAAAATCCCCATTAAATTAAGAAATCCTTTTCCAAATTTAGGTTAGATTGTTACTTAGTTTAGGACCAAAACCGGATAATTTTTTTTATATTTCATATAATTTGTAAAACTGTTTTTTAATTAAAACTTAATGGGTAATATCAAATTCGTATAATTTATTACGTAAAATACAGAACTTACCTCAGGATCAAGCCTTGGAGGCACAGGAGGTGGCGTAACGCTCATTCGTTTCTTGGCCACGGGTGGCGGTGTGGTGGGCAACATTGACGTCGAGTCGCTGCTTATAATCAGCGACAGAGGGCGCTGACCACCTAAACCGACTCGTTTAGGATCGGCCTCTTCGCCAGGCGTTTCCGGCTTGTCTTCAGGAATATTCAACTAAAAAATAAATAAATGGTTTACAATTTTTTCATTTAGTAAAAGAATCGTTCGGAAATTTAAAAAAACTAATGATTGACTTACGTTATCGGTGGATACCGCGGTCAAGTTGGGTCGACTTGAAGCTCTGGATGATTGTTTCATCCATCTGCCCCAGGTTACAATGTTTATATTCATTTGTTTTGCTCTGGGTAGGCCCTGCTTAAATATTCTCTTTTGACGTTGTAGTCTCGGGCGTTTTGATATCATGGGATTTATAAATTTAATCTGTAAGAAAAATCATATTATTGAGGAGGAAAATACGTTTGTTATTTTTTTTTAAACATTTGAGGCGTTTCTCGGAAAAACATCATTAGTCCAATATCGTCGAAATTTAGATATTAGCACCAACTGTTTCCTAACCTCCATATATACGTATACAAATAAGTGTTTCTCGTAAAAATGTCATAGGTTCCATAATAATTAAATATGAAATTTAGCTTGTTCTTCTAAAAACATCACAAGTCCACTCCATTTCGTCTAAGAAAGTGACATGTGCATAACATGTGACGTTTTTGGACACTCTAGAAAAGCTTCTACCTCTTTGACCACCACCTATGACCACAGCAATAGAAAATTTTATGATAACTTGATAAAAGACCAGAAGATCATAGCACCTGACAGTCCTGATAACGATGATAACAGCAGTGGATGCGAAGACTGAGTGTGGCAGTAATTCAGTTTTTATTTATTTTGTTACTCAGAGTTAATATTTAGTTTGTAGTGTTTGTAGTAAGGAGAATTGTTCGTTTTTTTCTTCTAAAAACCTCACATGTTCATGTATTTTTTGTGTTTTTTTCATATTCGTCGAAAAAAAAAACATGAGGAATTCTGGACAAAGTATCTTACATTTTTTTTACATGTAGTAAATAGGTCAATAAAGTACTTTGGTCAAAAATGGGAATGTCGGAGAGTTTTTTTCATTTTCCCAAATATGTTAATTTTGGACTAATGATGTTTTTCCGAGAAACGCGTCATTTGTTAAGGAAAAAAAGTATTTTTTGACTTTAACTGACAAAAATACTAGGTACTTACCATTATGAATATTGAATATTAAATAGCTATTGGTGTATTAAGTGCGCAGTGATATATTGTCGTTCTGAGTGAGAAGTTTGAGTATCTCGCGAGAGCAGCAATGTCACTTTGCGCTCGAATTACACACAGGATTTTTTCTACAACCGGTGTTTTTATAAAAATGTTTGGTAATAATTATTTATAACATTAAATTTGACTTTTGTGTCAAAAGCGCATTGTATACTAGACGTTTCGTTACTATGGTTTATTATGGAACTAAGCGAGCGTTTTGGTTACTTTGGCTTTCTGCGTGCAAATGTGTACTTTTCGCTCGGTTGTAGAAAAAAAGTATTTTATTACATTAAATAATGTATACAGTATTTTTTTAAATATTCTTTAAGTTAAGTTTAGAAACTTACTTCAGCAAATAGTAGACCTTGAGGTTCAAGATGTAGAACCATTCCATGCCTTTCGTCGTCGATAAATTCTTCAAGCTTTAAAAATTTGACGCCACACAAAGACCTGTAGTCTCTCCAGTAGACACCAATCTCCAATTCCCTCGACTTGTCCAGTTCGATGGAAAACCTCTGATCCCAAGCTTGCTGCGAGCAAGGCCTCCAACTGGTCTGAGCAACGTGCGAGTTGTCCAGTTTTAGCACCGCCATGATCTCTTCGCTTAGCTCCTCCTTGATGCTGTAACTCTTCGACGATATGCCCTTTTTGAAAAACTTTAAATCCATCGTACTCGAGCTGCCGTCTCCGTCCTTCTTCGACCTACCTGGCACCTCTTCCAACAAATCCTGGCAGCCCATGAGCCGGACTTCCAAGGTGCCTGTGACGGCGGCGCACCTGTTGATCGACGAGGAGACCGAGTGCGACTTTCCGGTTTCTGAGTTCTCTTTGAACGGTTGCAAGTAAGTGTATTGCACTGACGTGGGACTTAAAGATTGCGAGTTCATGAGCTCTTCGCGTAATTGCATGGCCATCGGAGAGTCGGCTGGCAATTCCATCTTCCTTAATTCTAGAGACTTTCGCAAAAGATCCAGTTTCATACTGCTGGCACGCAAACTATCCATAGCCTAAACAAAATAAAAAAACATTCAATACAAACAAACAATAAATATTAAATAATTAAAGAGACTTTCTACTATTAATCTAAATGAAGTTTTAATAAAAACATTAATAATGATGGACCAGATATTTTTAGGGTTGCTTTCGATTAAATTTAACATGAGAATTGTTTGGATAAGACCAAGGTTAATTAGCATTATGAATTGTAAAACCGCAATTAAATGCGTGTGTTGGTTAAATAAAATCTATCTTTAGCATCAACATAACAATATTACCCACTGAGATAAATAAACAAAAGCTCTTGGTTTCAAGACTGTAAGTTACATAATGTAAGTCTATAAATAATTCGACCCCGTTAAAAAATTAAAATGTCATGTATTTTTAGGATTTGAAACAAACACAACAGAGCTTTAGTTTAATGAAAGTAACACCAGTATTTATTTACCTTATAAAATAGTTATAAAAAATATTAACTAAGCAGTCGACATCACTAACGCGTAATAAAAAAATTAAAAACTAGCAGTCCTTGTACAAAACGCCATCGACCGTTCTGTCACTGGACACAGTGTCTCTTTCGTACATTTTCCTCCAATTTGGAACGGAAAAGGGCGCTTCGCCCATCGACCTCGTGCGATTTCGGTAGCCGCCGTTACTTTCGAAATGCCGTCGACAATGATCGCAGCTGCACGCGGGATTTTTCGCCGGACCGACGTGGTGACCGGGTTTCCGCAACGAACTGACCACACCGCCGAAACGATTTGCTATAAACCGTTTTCCGGAGTAGAGATTCGCCAAAGTCGCGACCGATGATTCTTGATTCTTCATTGAACCAATTGTCAGTCTTTGCAACAATTCATTTTCGTTTTGACTTTCTTTGGGTTTCTGGGTTGTTTCAGTGACAGCTGCTTTTAAAGCAATGGCCTCTTCTGGTTTCGTTTTCACAGCTATGAGATTTCTGGGTAGTTCCAAAACTCCTTTGACAATCTCTTCCTTAACGATTTCTTCATCCTCATTACTACCATTTCGTTTAATGGTTCCATCCCTATCCAGCTTTTGATCGTCGTTTTTAACAAAAGTCCAGCCTTTTACAGAATCATCGCTGTCAGAATCGCTATCTTTGGAATCCTTTTTACCTAATTTCTCGGCTATGTAATCTTGCATTTTCTTTTGCTGTAGCAGTAATTGCTTTCGTTCTGATTGCGGCGATTTCCACTGCTTCGTGTTGGCTTTATTCTTCCACATATCCTCCATTTTCTTGATCCTTAGCCTATCCTCTGAGTTTGCATATTCAAAACTATCGCTGTATTGAAGACTAGCGTTGCTCGGAGTGTCTAGGAATCCTTTGTTTTCTATCTCCGGCGTCTCGTCTATGCTATTAGAGTTGTAGAGCCTTCTGTTGAATTGGTCTAAGCTTTCAGTTTGGGTTATGCTGGATCGGCTTTGTAATAAACTGTCAATATCTGAAAAAGTGTCTTTCCAGGAGGTTGCTACCGACTCACAGTCGTCAGGAACAGTCATGCTGGAGTTTGTGGTCCAGGATTTTGGAATGCTATAAATACTCGAAGAAAAATCTCTTATAGTCGAATAGGAACTTAATTTTGATGGATAAGCTGTACTCTCATCATCTGACACATCTATTCTTTCGTTTACCAAATCTTTGACGTTTTTATTTGATTTACTGGCCAAACTATTTTTATCTTGCAAATGGAAAGGCAACTCATCTGGCTTGGCACTTTGGCGAGTAATACAAACTTTGCCCGATTCAAATACTGTTTGCGGGGTGGATGCAGTGTCGTTCTCAGTATCCGAAACACTTGCATCCGATTCGATTTCAGTGCCAGTACAATAAACGTCTATGTGCACGGTACGCGGTTTTTTACTGGAATCGCTGCCTTTCGATTGGTCGGACAGTTCGCTTTGGGCCAACGGCGGCCTAAGGCTCCTTGGTTTCTTAGATTTCGCTAAGGCGGGAACACTCTGAGAAATAATAAATAAATTCAATTATGTTTGTCTTTATTAACGCACAGTCACAGAAAAAGTTAAACACTTTTGACAATTTTGTCATGACCATCTCAAAATTTGTTGGTTGGAAAAATTAACTGATTTAAGTATTTCTTTTAACCATAGATAATGTCAGGTAAAACAGCATTGTATGCTTATAAAATATGCTGGTAATATTTTTTTTAAGTTTATTTTCCCCACCTTTGCAATCTCAATTCTAACTTACTGAAAGAAATGACAAAATCCCTCAAAAATGCAAAACCTATGGAACACTGGTGTTTACCCACCTGTTGGGAAGATTCTAAACTGTCTGGGGTATAGGCGTTAGGTGAAAATGCTCTTTGGTTTAAAGGTTCCGTCCTGTGCCTATTGTACTTTCTCACAGGCGATCTTCTTTTATTTACGTTAGCCATTTTCAAAAATGGCGAGGTACATTTATCGATCATTTCCGTAGTTTGCACACAGGCGTCTTTTTTGTTGACGACGCCAACATCTTTTTGCAAGGGACAAGAGAAGGTGCTGGCTCTAGTGGGTAGTTTAGAGCTGCTTTGACAGCTCTCGCAACCCTCCAGCACCGGGGAGCATCGGCCAGGATAATTAAACTCGTCTGCGTAATGCGTATGATGACACCAAGGATCACCGCAACCGTAAAAACTATCTTGCTTCTCGCATCGCATAGTAGGCGTTTGGCACCGCAAACTCTGCGTTCTGCCGCAAACCAGTCGCGGATCCAAGACGTCTGGTTTCGCCTTATCGGCCACGTTGGCGCTTAGAGTTATGTTGCAGGTGCTACGGCACTTCCGGTTGTACGGGAGGATGGGACGCGGCAGACTTCCGCTCGCTAAAGAGTTGGGGGACATCAGGTCGCTGCCGTAGCCGGAAGAGTCTTGTATGCCTAATAGTTTGAGAATTTTAATGACTGGGTTGAGTAAAAACTAATTAGCGGTAGATATTTCTCAAAGTAAATATTGGCCTAGACCAAGTTTGAGTGGGAGATTAATTTATTGAAATACGTCTAGAGTGTTGCCAATTTGTAAAATAAATCAAAACAATGTTATTTAAATCTTCGAGAACTTTTTATTTTAAATATTTGTCTATGTAACTACTTTGTTACTATATATATCATGGTATACCATTAACCTTAAGCATTTTTAAGATTGGTTTATTCTAAACAATTTAAGCCCACTACTACTTTTAATCCAATAGTTTCCTGAAAAATATTTACTGCTGCAGTCGCCCAACAAATTTCCTTTTAAAATAATAATTTAATTTATCTTTAATTCTGAAATCCACCAATCAAATACACTGCGCGACAAAATTAACGCATAACAAGTAAAAAAAACAACTCTAAAAACGCCTTTACCAATCTATATAAAGTTTTGGATAAAATACTTATATCTCAGTTTACGTGTTCAAGGGTTTTTCGTAAGTAATATCATAAGGGCATTTAATTTTTCCGAAAAGAATCGAAAAAACACGTTGCTAAGTGATATTTTAACAAAAAGCATGAGTGCTGGTTGCACCTGCACGAATGCTTTTTGTTAAAAAATATTACTTAGCATTGTGTTTTTTCACAGGAAAAATTAGATGCCCGAATGGTATTTGACAAGACTATTTCATGAGTAACAGTTAACAATTAAAATATAAATTGCAATTTTTGGTGACAACAGCTGTCAAGTTTTGCCGCGGGTAAACTCGAAAAAACTGCTGACAGGTGCTGTCACACAGTTTTTTCACCTAGAAACCATTTGTAATTCAAAATTGCGCGTTTGTGAATGGTAGAAATTAAGACGAGGGAAATAGTCACCTAGAAACCATTTGTAATTCAAAATTGCGCGTTTGTGATTGGTGGAAATTAAGACGAGGGAAATAGTCACCTAGAAACCATTTGTAATTCAAAATTGCGTGTTTGTGAATGGTGGAAATTAAGACGAGGGAAATAGTCGATAAAATATCCTTAAAGCCGTTTTATTTAATATTAAAAAACGCTCGAAAAAAACTTTTAAAGGGAAATTTTTTTAAAGTAAATAAAAAAAAATGCTGTGAAAGACCGTATTTTTGTAAGTATACCCTGAAAATGTTGTACAAATCTAACGAACAGTAACGAAAATACAGCGCTTCAAAGTCGTCAAAAATTACCACTTTTTAGCAAAATAATTAAAAAGGGGTCATTTTTACCGACTTTGAAGCGCTGTATCTTCGTTACTATTCGTTTGATTTGTACAAAAATTTCAGGGTATACTAACAAAAATACGGTCTTTAACAGCATATTTTTATTTATTTAAGAATAAAATTCCCTAAAAGTTATTTTTCGAACATTTTTTTTTATTATTAAATAAAAGAGCTTTAAAAATATTTTCTCGAAAATACCTCGAACAAGTAAACTAAGATTTAAGTTAAAGTATTTTTATACAAAATTTCATAAAGATTGGTAAAGGCGTTTTAGAGTTAAATTTTTTTTACTTATTATGCGTTAATTTTGACGCGCAGTGTAGTATCAGCAGGTTTCTAAAACTTATTATAAAATTATTTAATGGTTAAGTCTAAAGCTAAATTTTCACGTATCCGTTTGTCCGTTATTCAATAAAATCGTCCGATAAGAAATGTTCTAATTTTCATGCATCCGTTTTTTAATGACGTTTAACGAATTGATTTGACGACAAATAGAAATTAAGTGTCAGTATACTCACTTTACTAAATTTACCTAATGCTTAATTGTAATAGTTGCAATTATGTCAACAATTGTACCTAACAGTTAGCTGTCTAATAAATTTAAAGGTAGGTAAATATACCATATAAAAAGAATATACTAGCCTTAATGTACATTAAAATGTATAGTTTAAAAAAACAGGTCCTTTTATTCTAGTTTGAATTTTTTTTTGCCTTTTCTTTTTTTCCGTTATTCTTCATAACGAACGTAATATTTCCGTTCTACAATCTTATTGAAAAAATATAAAAAGATTTGAAAATAAATTATCTTAAAATAACGTCAAAAACAGATGTGTAG